ATTCAGTGATTTCAGTACATATTTTGGTACCAAGACCCTCCTGCTGGAGGTACTGAGGCTCCTCCTCTGATAGGGGAGGAGGAACCACTGCAACTCCCTTGAGTGGAGTCTTGCCCATGGGACAATGCCCATGCAAGATATCATCTTTCCCAGGAGCCTCGAGAGCTGTATCAAAGGTACTCTCCTGTCTTTCTGAATTTGATGAGCCAGCTTGGAGATGCTGCTTCGACGCTCCTGGGAAAGATATACCCTGCACTGGGATGAGTCTATCGCCGCTCCTAGGTGCTGTAGCTTCCTTGAGGGAGTGAGATGGCTCTTTTCTACATTGACTGAGAATCCGTGTTCTTGTAGAGCGCGGATTGTGGTCTGGAGGTCTAATTTTGCTTGCTTCTGTGAGCTGGATTGAATCAATATGTCGTCCAGATAAAACTGTACACGCACCGGCATCAGCCTGAGGTGGGCCGCTATTACTGCTAGGATTTTGGTAAATACCCTTGGGGCTGAGGATAGACCGAAGGGTAGTGCCCTGTATTGATAATGCCGGTGTGCATAGGTAAATCTGAGGAATTTTCGGTATTTGGGGTGGATGGGAATATGCAGGTACGCCTCCGTGAGATCTATTGAGGACAGGAGGTCGCCCTTCCTGACACTGATTAGGATGGATTTCAGGGACTGCATTTTGAACCTCCTGTAAGTTACGTAATAATTCAGGCCCTTTAGGTCCAATATTGCTCTCCACCCTCCTGATGGCTTTGGTATCACAAAGATGGAATAAAATCCTCTTCCTTCCTCTTCCCTTGGTACCCTTTCTATGGCCTGAATTGACAAGAGGTGTGCTATGGCCAAGGTTATCAGCCTTGCCTTGTGTACCTTTTTGGAGATGGGACATCTGATGAATCGGTCTGGTGGGGGAGAACAAAAGTCCAAGGTCAGGCCATGCCTGATTGTCTCCAAGACCCAGGCGTCGGTAGTGGTCTGCTCCCAGACCTCGATGAAATTCCCTAACCGACCTCCTATGGGAGTGTCCTGTCTGGCGTCACTTGGCGCGTTTAAAGGGTCGGCCTCCCGATCCTCTAAAGGAACGCCTGGACTGAAACTGGCCTCTGGCTCCCCTGTTTGGGCGATCCTGGGAACGATCCTGTCTTGAATAGAAGGATCGTGAGCCTCTAGACCAGTCCCAGGATTGCCCTGATCGAAAGGGCTGTGTCCAGTCCCAGGAGTTGCCTGGGCGGAAACTTTGCCTCCGGAATTCCTGATTGCCTCTCCTGTCTAATTTCTTTGATGGATGGACTAGAATTTTCCTTTTGTCCCTACTCTCGCTTACATGTGGATCCAGAATGGACCCAAACAAAAATGACCCACTGTACTTGGACATCGAAAGACGCCACTTGGCCTTCAGATCTGTCTTCCAATTTTTGAGCCACAGTAATCTGCGAGAGGCTATTGTGGCTGCAATCGATCTTGCCACATACTTGGTTGCATGAAGTGAGGCATCCGCCATAAATTGTGATGCCGCCAGTATCTTGGCCAAAGTTTGGTGAGCTCTGACCTGATCTGGAGGTACAGTGGTTTGTAGCTCGCGCAGCCGCATGATACACGCCCTGGCGAAGAATGATGATGATGTTGCCGCCTTGGCCGCCCAGGCTGCGGCTATGTGGGAACGACAGAGGGAGTGCTCAAATTTCTTTTCCTCTGGTTTCAAGGCCTCCGCCATGTCCCCTGGAATCGCAGAAGTAGAGAATAATGATATCAAGGGACTATCTATTGCAGGGACATCTAATATGCCCGAAAAGGAAGGAGAAACATTGAATAGTTTCCTTTCCACACTGTTAGGTGCTGGTGGTGTTGCTAGGGAAACCCATTGCTCCTCTACCGTGGTGCGGAAAACCTCAGGACAAGGGATGTACTTGTCCTGTGGAACTTTCTTGGCAAAGAGAGGGTTTGCCTCTTTGCTAGTAGAAGGATTTTCCTCCTGAACTGAGGTCAAATTGACCGTAGAGACTGCCTTTATCAAAAGTGATTTTAGAAGAGCTGGATCGAAGAGGCCAGAGCTTGTTGCCTGCTCAGGAGCGGTCCCCTCATCCTCCGAGAGGGGCATATCAGACATGTCTAGGTCTAATAATTCTCCCTCTCCTATTTGAGAGGAAGTTTCAGAAATGTTTGTAGCCGGAGCCTTGTTTGGTCCCTTATGGGATGGTTGAAAGGCTACCTGGCCCTTAGAAGCCATGAACTGGGAAAAGGCATCCTGCATGAATGCCTGAAATTGGGCAGACCATATGTCCTCCTGGGTTTTGTCCGTGGACGCAGCCACAATGGGAGTATGGTCTGGTGAGGAGGCAGGTGAAGAGGAGTGGGAGGAATCCAACTGTTTGGTTTCCCCCGAAGGATACCAAGTTCTAAGAACCTCCTGGGGAGTAGGTTCTGTAATAGAGGCCACCAATGGAGCAGGGGAAACCATGCTTGTCCCATTGGAACTGGTTTTCTGGGCCCTGGCAAACTGTCTTTCTAGAGCCAAATGTCTCCTCGAGGCCTCTCGCTCAGCTGTTTTGGATGGACCCCTTTGGATAAGGTGCTTTGTTTTAGCCTTCTTCTTCCCCCCCACCTCAGATTCTGTGGATCTGCGTTTTGGTTGCGGGAGGGGGGGAATTGGGGTCCCTGCATAGCTGAATGCGAGACATTGTCTGCCATTGTGGCCAGGTATCCCGAGTAGGCAATACCTGGGGTGGGGAATGAATAGTACGCAGATCGGTTGCAGATAATTGAGGCCTGGAAGGCCTATCCTGCACAGAATAAACAATGGCCGGACAGACAGGTCCCTTTGCAAGGAAGGATCCTGTGGAGCAGTGACTAAAGGTCACCTTGAAGAACAGTGGAACAATTCAAATTTTCCTCCCTCTCCTTCACCAGGGGCGCTTGCAACGGCCCGGATAGAATGCAAATGGTTTGCTAGTGCTGTGAGAATGAATTCCCCAATCTGTGGCTGTAAAGACAGACACCGGGTGTGCTGGTAACTCTTTTCTACCTCTCCCTCTGTCTCTCTATTCCATGCTCCTGTGGAAAAACCCTTTCAAGTATATGAGCCCCTAAAATGGAGGCTATAAGAGTCCACCCAAAATGGAGGCTAAAGGAGATACAACCCAAAATGGAGTCTGTGTGAGGGCCACGCCTTCCTGTTAACAGCCAAAGAGAGCCACGAGTCTCAAAATGGTGGATTGGCTCCAACAGTCGTTCCGTTGGCTGAGGAGGCTTTGGGGGGGGGGCAGAAGCTAGGTGCTAGAACCTTTCACGATGCCCCCGAAACGGACTGCTCTTTCCCGGGCAATCTGGTGAGTCACGGGTTAAATTAAGCCCGACCGTTAAGTACTGGAAGATTTGCCGTTTGCTGGCAACCTTCCAAAACCTGGGCCCCGCTGTTCTGACTAGCCCTGGAGCTTAGTTCTGCACGCCTCAGCTGATCCGGGAGATAAGGGCAGCCGAGGCTCCCTATGCCTCCGCTGCCTCTCACCGCTTCGCTCGGTGATTTTTGTTTTTTTTACAATACTCTCACCACTCCTCAAAGCGACGCCTGCAGGAACGGCGATCTGACGGCTGCTCGGAGCCGCGAGCTAAATGGGAAAAAACGCCTCCCTGTGAGTTTTCTACCTAATTGAAATTTTGGCAGAGAGAAGAGGGTTTTAAAGCTAATTGTAATCCTTTTTGTCAGGAGCTAATTTTCTAGCTGCTAACGGGCTTCGAGACTGAGTCAGAACTGGGGTCACGCCCAAGGGAAGGGTGTGGCCAAAGTTTTTACCCAGTCTGCCAGGCAGGAAGGCTATCATAGAACCCAACCATTGGACTCTACAGCCATCCTGCTGGAGAATCTGTGAATTTATTGCCAGGTAACTCAGTCCCTTTCTTTGATGGATGCAAACTATCTCTTTCGTATGCTTTTTCATTGGACCAGTTGCAGACATCGTGACTAATATAGATGGAGGAGGATTTTCTGGAGTTTCTCCCATAAGCTTTCCCCATTAATGGCAGCTTCTCTTCCTGGCTGATAGCTACTCCATTCCCTCCTGCTCCTTTATTATTCACATGCTGCAGTATATGCAGTATTTATTCAGACAAAATACAATATAATGATAGAGCAACAGTGCATATGGATAGATAAGAGTTTTGTGTTCTCCATCTTCTTTCTACCAAAGCTAAGCACACAGTTCTTTGTTCTTTTGCTGAACGACACAACTGTCTTCTTTTTTTTTTTTTTACCATAATAGTAGCTTGGGAAGTTGGGGGCTTGAATTGGGAGTAGTGGTATAAGGGCCATTTATCGTCCTACAGTTTGCCCCTGAGTCTTGTGATATAGCTAATTTTACTCAGGGAGTTGCGAACCACAAATTTTTGTGATAATGGCGTAGTGATCATTGGGGAATATGATTGTTTTGATAGACCAGATGTGGAGATTCTGACCGGCTCTCTGGGCTGCCCTGCTTGTATCCTCTCCTTTCAGATTGTCTTTTCAGCTTCCACAGACCTCCAGGACTACATCTATTACTTTGTGCCAGCCCCCTGCCTCTCAGTCAAGCTTCTGCGGCTGCTGCAGTGTTACCCTCCCCCAGGTAACAAAGGCTCAATGAAGTCAAAGGTAGCACTGGAATATGCCGGCTTCCTGGGGTAGAATATTTGCCTGAACGTCTTGCTGATTTCCTTAGTAAAAGGCACAGAAGCAACACATCCTTTTATTATTAATCTGTTTTACCTCGTTTTACCTCTTCATCACAACACCAATTTTTATTTATAATTCAGGATAATTGACTGCTTTGAATGCATTTTGGCAAATAGGATATGAATTTAATAAATAAAGTTTTTAAGTCTCTTTTCTAGGCCTGTTTAAGGACCTCCCTTTTTCCTGTTCTATTAATGAGTCTGCACAAACATTGTGCTCATGCCCTTCCTATTCTCCTCTCCCTTGGCATTTGATGAAGGAAGAGATCCTGATAATACCTATTATTTTTCAAATAGTCCAAAAACAGAGCTTTGGTTGCATTTCCATATGGAGACTTTCAGAACAACAGAGAATGGATGGCCATATCGCTCCTCAGGGGGTGGGTGGAGAGATATGATGACTGGCCAATAGGGACCAGAGGAGCTCAAGAAAGGCATTCAAGACTTTCAGAGGCTGCGTTTAACTCTTGGACTGCTATGAGCCTAGCAAGAAGGGAGCTAAGCAATGAAAAAACAAATGTGCTTTGCACACTGAAGATCACCTCCACTCTATCAAAGTCAAATATTTGAAATAGACTTCTGCCAGAAATTTGATGAACTGAGGTCACATTATAATGGAACAGGATTCAGGGAAAGGTAGCTTTGCAGATTGTACATAATCAAAATGGATCTGCTCCAAATCTCCCAGATCATGATCTGGCCAGCATCGACTCAAGGTTAGAAGAATGCTCCAGAAAGGTTTCACTCTGAAATCTTTTTATTGGGGGCAGGAAAGTCTGGGCTTAGTCTACTCTGTGCGTCACTGTGTCATCGTCTTCTGCAAATGCTGGCAACGGGGGCATATACCTTCTGATTGGGCCCGCTGCTTCAGCTCCTCCAAAATTGGTGCTGTTGCATTCTCAAACATCTTTTGCAGCACCTCTATATTTGCAGTGCTGTAGCTGTTGGTAGGAAATAAACCAGGAAGTGAAATAAAAAAGTAAGTTCGAAGAGGGTTAAAAAATACTGTTAGCAGGAGAGAAAAAAAGGGGAGGGGAGAGGAGAGGAGAAGGTGTGAAAATTCTAAGCTTAAAGAGAATTTTAGAAAGCCATTTAAAATTCAAGTCCTTTTCATTCTTCCAAGCATACTTGCCATTATCATAAGCTTTAGCAATTTGACCTTTTCCAAAGAAATGAAAAACAGATGTTGTCAAGAATATAAAGCCAATGCCAGATACTGGATGTTATAGAAATCTCAATTTTCAGCAGCAGCCAATTAACTGCTCATGTGATTAGTCAAATTAGCTTCTGTAATGCCGAACCTTCTCTTTTGTGAACTGGAAAATTGAAATTACTTGCTGGTCCATGAAAGGAAATCTATAAACTAAATCAGTGTTTTGGGTTAACATACTGTTTATGGACTGTTTTTAAGTAAGGAGTTTTTGGGAGGGTAGTACTTGATAGAAAAAAACTTAGTTTGTAACTGTTCCCATTCATCATGTCCATCCAATAAGAGAATGTTTCTCACCCTTGGCAATATCAAGCTGGATAGGCTTTCTCACCCTGATAGGCAATATCAAGCTGGATAGGTATAGATTCTCCTGCTTGAGCAGGGGGCTGGACTAGAAGACCTCCAAGATCCTTTCCAGTTCTCTATTCTATTCTATTCTATTCTATTCTATTCTATTCTATTCTATTCTATTCTATTCTATTCTAAAAAAGTGAGGGATTCTAGGAACTGAGATCCATACAGCAGTGGCGAATCTATGGCACGGGTGCCAGAGGCGGCACTCAGAGCCCTCTCTGTGGGCACATGCGCCATCGCCCCAGTTCTAGGCCTTCAGCTGGATTTTATAAAACCTTTTTGCTTTAGGCCTCCACCACCGTGTGCAAAAAAAAAAAAAAAGGTTCAGTCAATTTCAACTTCTCGCGGGGGAAAAAAAGATCTTGCAAAGTTGGAATTGATTGACTGAACTTTTTAGTCCCACCCAGTCTGTCGTTACCACCGCAGCCATGCTCACCCAATGGAATCCACCCACCCAATTGGCCATAGCCAGCCAATGGGCCACACCCACCCAGCACCTGACGATGCATAAGTGGGTTTTGGGTTACAGTTTGGGCACTTGGTCTCTAAAAGGTTCACCATCACTGCCATACAGCATAAAATTGTCAAACTTGAGATTACTGCAATAAGCTATGACAAAGGTAGTCATGCTCAGAGACCCCTCATTTAAGTTGCTTTATTTGGAGCACCCAGAACTACTTTTTCACTGTGCCTGCCCTCTTACACAGCACTCTTCCCAAAATTCAGATGGCCCTGACCATATCTTTCAAAGGCCTGAGACCTGTCTTTTCCTTAGACATTGGGTATGGAGGTTTTCTCCCAGCTGACCATTTCTGGATTTACTTTGGTTGATAAAGTTAATTTTATTGTATTTTAATGTTGAAGGGTTTATTACTTGTTTTCTATTGGTGTAAACTGCTCTGGTTCATATGTCAACTGGAAAGCTATTAAATTGATTTAATCAGTCAATCGATCATTCTAAGCCATAATATGGTAAGTTTGGTTTTATCTTAGCTTTTGGCTCCCTTGGGGATTACAAAGCATAGGTCAGTGATGGCAAACCTTTTAGAGCCCGAGTGCCCAAACTGCAACCCAAAACCCACTTATTTATCGCCAGATGCCAGGTGGGCGTGGCGCACTGGGTGGGCATGGCTACGATCATGGCAGACTGGGTGAGTGTGGCCAAGCTGGGCATGGTCACCTCAATGTTGCTCGTGGGGAGGGATGCCTGTGGGGGCTGGGCAGGGTTGGGGGAGATCTAGGGGGTCTTTGGCAGGTGGGCCAGTGGGCTGGAGGCTCGTCCTGCAGGGTGAGGCTGGGCAAGGCGAGGCAGGGTGGGGGTGCCATTGTTGCAGGGCAAGGCGAGGCATGGTCTAGGGCGGCTGCTGCCTGACACCATTGGCTCCCTCACACAGAAGCCAGCGAGTGCATGGGGGCCGACAATGTCCATCAGCAACCACAGCCTGCCGGCCCCGCGACAGGCACACTCTGGAGCTCCACAGCCCATGGCCAGCAGTTCAGAGAAGCCGCCTATGAAATGGATGGCTGGCTGAAAAAAATGTTGTAAAATCAGGTGCAGTCAGATGGTGACCTGTTTAATGACTGTCATGACTTATGACTATAATTCCAGGCTCAATTAGTCGTACAGTATGTCTACGGCTATGCTTTGTTTAATAAATTGTGATTAAGAAAACCATTGTTTATTGTCACTGGCCTCCATGAACTCAGGGAAATCAAACTTAATATTGCCCTAATCTACAAATCCATCCTTAGTCTAGCCTTCTGATTCTCATTATCAGGTTGGCATATATTCTTCAATTCTGACCCTGAAGTTTGAACTAGGTACCTGGAACATCTAGCACAAGTAGAAGGAGGCCAATTGAATGTTTCTATGTTTTTGAATGTTCCAAGATATTGAGATACATCTTCCAGGAGTGGATTCACCTGCCAGAGCCCATCCAGATCTACACGGAGCTTAGTCAGTGATATTGATGCTCGCTTTGCCCTGGCATGAGAAGAAAGGAAAACGGCGACAGTAAAATGGCAAACATTCACAGATTCCAAATTCAAAGCCCTGTAACAGCTCAGAGAGATGCAAATTTGCAGCCACATAGATCTTAGCTCTACGGAATAGTAAACAGTGGATTATTCTTGACTCCATCATCTCTTAAATCTGATACTTTTTTCACTGGTAATAAGAGGCCACAACTCAAAAGGACTTAAGAGAATTGGAGATTGGAAGAGAGACATGGCCATCCAGCTTCAAGAAAAGGGAGCCTCTTTGCTCAAGAGAAGCACATACGTGGCAGAAACTTCATCCAGTTCCTCCCGCAGCATCCTGAGTGCTTGGCCTTGTTCCACTTGTGTCCTTTCCCGTTGGGGAAGCACTCCCTCCAAGTGTATCCCCAGCTGAGCCAATAGCCGCAAGACCTCCTTCTGGGCCAGCTCCAGCATCCATTTCCTAAAGTGAGATGTGATAGAAAAAGACCAGGTTGGAGGACATCTAGCAAAATCAAGGCTCCACCCCTCCAATCTCATCTCAGAGAGATACCAAAGCAGCAGTGCACTATTGAAGTTCACTCTCCCCAAAGATGGGCAACCTTGGGGATGTTGCCTCCATGCTACTTATGAGGTACAAAAGTTATTTGGAGACCCCAATCGCCATCCCTGTTCCAGCAATTAACGTGAGATCTTACCAACGAAAGTCTTCAACTTGAACCTGGTGCTGCAAGTTATGCAGTTTCTCCTAAGCAAAGTAGGGGAAGGGAAAGAATAAGATTAATTTGGGGGCGTTCAGTATATTTATATGCTGTTCTCTTTTCCAATTAGCAATCTGATACAGTAAAACTCTACAGAGTTCAAATCCACAAAGAAAATAAAAGGGAGCACCAAAGGCAACAAAATACCTTTCTCTAACCTAACATCAAGATGTAAGAAACTACAATGTTCTTAATTTCCAACCATATAACTAGGCTAGTTAGGAACTCCAATTGTAGTTTTCCAATATACCTGGAGAATGCCAACCTGAGAAAGGCTAAAATAAAAAGTTATCCTTGGTGGCAATTGTTTTTGCGTGTGTGTGTGTGTATTGATTACTTTAATTTCCCTTAGGGTCATGGGTCAAATAAGTCAATGAGGCAGCTGTGATCACTTGATTAAATCCTGTCCATTTTGTTATGTGCATTGCAACAAGCTTGGGCCAGGATTCCAATTACGTGATTCCGACTATCTTATTAAACAGGCTGCTCTTCAGTGTTCTGTTTCTTCATTTCCTTTCCTTCCTGCCGAATGGGCTGCTGGAACAATTGGTCACCTTGGCTTGGCTGCTGATGTGGTACACAATTGGGCTAAAGCAAGAGGAGGAACATATTGTTCATCTAAAAGACATCCTTCACCTCAAAGTGAACCTTTAGAAAATACAACTCAGCAAATCATCAGAAGAATGCGGTTTTATGTTCTTTTTTTGTGATGGAATCCAAACTATCTGCAACCATTTGCATTTGATAAAAAGGTAAATGAAAGGGACAAACTGCAGAAACTTACAGCATTTAAAAAAGGGGACAGTTGTGCCAAAACCCTGAAGATGGACAAGATGGAGACTTTGCACCATCTTTTTCCTCCTCCTCCTTTCCCCACCTTTTATTTAGAAGTCTACAGAGGATAGCAACTAACTGAACATAGCTATGTTGACAGTCAATCATATAATACTCAAGATAACCCACTAAGAAATCACATGACCATAAATAACCATGATGGTTAATTAGATTTCTACTCCAACTTTGAATGAGAAACTCAAACTGGCAAGTTTAGTTCTAACTCTTCTGGTTTCTTTTAGCAGTATCCCTTTCAGGGGACTGAAAGACCCCCAGGCCCTCCCTCGGTCAGCCCAGCCCCTCAAAGAGATATGGTTGGAAGAAACCAATCATATGTGTGTCTACAGGTGTGGGTCTACAGTCTCTTCAGAGCCAGTCCAAAGTTAATCCCTCCATAATGCTGGTGAGAGTGAGAAATTAAAAACAAAATCTTAGAGAACGTAAAAGATAATAACAAACCGTTTCATACTGTTGCTAAAAAAAAAAAAACTTTGCCACAAGGAATCAAGCATGGTTGAGGAAGCTTATTTCTCTTCCACACAGTTTCCTTTTCTAAATTTTCCAACAATCATTTTGTGCATAGGTAACCCTGAGCAAGTTTTAATGGTTGACCTTGGATCTGAATTATAATCCCCTTAATGCCTGGTAGACAATGGCTCTCTTTTGCTAAAAGCTTCATACTTTTTTCTTTTATTGGAAAGAGCATCCCTTGACAAAGATGAAAAAAGGGAAAGACTTCAAAGAGAAAGGGGTAAAAATGGGCACCTTCTGTCTCACCTCCAAGAGGGCTGAGTTTTCTTCTAGCATGCTGGTCTTAATTTCTGCATCCTCCACAGCTTTTGTCACCGTTTGGCAGCTTTCCTTCAAGAAATTTCAGGAGAGGGGAGAAACTCAGGTGGCCAAGCAAGCAAGCAAGCAAGCAAGCAAAAGAAATGAGCTCACATGGATTTGTATTCAATGTTGTGTATCTTCTTTTCTATAAAATTATTTTCAAGAAATTGGGGCACGGAGGAAGCTGAAAATTCTCCCATTTCTCTTTTTTACTAATGATAAATTTGGAAAATATATGTATAAATACTTCTGGCTATCTTTTGATTGCACAGATGCAAAATGCCCCCTATTGGGAATTGGGGAGAACATGAAGTTATCAATAAATTAAAAGAAAAGCAAACTAAGGGACTTCCAGTTTTTGCATCTGCAGCGCATGGGCACGCGAGAGCGGACCTCCGCTCGCCACGGCTAGTTTCTTCCTGCTTGGGGGACCCTAGATGGGTCCGAAATTGCCCCAGAGAGGTGACTGTGATGGGGGGGGTGCCCCGTCGATCACAAAGCGACGGCAATCGCTTCGTTTGATCCGGGGAAAGCCCCCAGAACCCGACAGGAGAAAGGCTAGTGTGAGATCAGCCTCTACCCAAGCAGCTTGCAGCCAAAGTCTCAGAGCACGAACATAAACATCAGTGAACAGTGTGCTTAGAATTGGTGAGAGTACTGATCTTCTTTCTTCTATCTACTATTTAAATCCTTGAAAAGATCCCCAAAGCAAGAAAATCTCCAGAAGCGAAGGGAGGGGACTATCTCCCCATTCCCTTACAAAGGGAAATGGTGAATTAACATAAAAGGTGGAAAGATATATACTAAAATTTAATTTAAAATATTTCAGTCTGGACAAATCTAGGAACTAAAAAACTGTCAAAAAATTTCTAATAGGATTATAAAAATACATAATAAAAATAACTTTTTGGTTGTACGAAAAACTGAAAAAAGAAATAACTGCTGACATCTAGTGAAGAATCAGAGAATAGAACAATAAGGACTCAGAAATTGGCAGAATGCCCAGAAAAAAAAGAAAAAGTTGTTCCTTTGAATTGCAAATAATCTTGAAGACAGCTGGACTGTTGCTTAAACCTAAGAACTGTTTATGGAAAAAAAACTTTGGCTTTTTGGCTAATCTTTTAGAGGAGAATTTGCAGGAAGGATTTAAATTAGTTTAATATACTAAATCTGTAATTTTGACTGACTGATAAACTGACTTTTGAAATAAAACTTTGATGAAAGATTATTTGAAGGAGGGAGACAACATGGATATCACATACACATCAAAAAATGACAGGATGCCACATACAATATTTTCTCCTAAAGGAATTAGCTTAGCAAGGCAAGATAAATACTTTCCCGGAGAAAATATATGTAATGTTAGGACAAATACAAATGACAATAGATTCAAACCACGACAAAATTTGAAACAACTTTGATGATTTAAATAAGCATATCTCCATCTAAATCTACAATTAAAAAATACCCAGGAAATAACAACAAAGGAACAAACAAATCAGACAGAGGATTACAAACTAGAAGAGCATGATCAAATTGATGAAATAACAAAGGAAAAGAATTACAATTTGACACAAACAGGAAAAAATCTACAAGGTTCTGATACAACAAGGAAAATGGAATTATCAGGAGAATCATCAAAGTTTGGGAGACAGAAAGTATTTATCTTACTTACTTCATCTTTTGTATTCCCAACAACATTTGTAAAAAATACAGGAACTGTTGGGTAAGTAGACTACATCAACTTGGAAATTACTTGGCAAAAGAAGAAGATCAGAGACAGACACAAAAGATTTGACTCGCCCTAACAGATGGACTATTACATGAATAAACATTTGTTTGAATATGGCTAAAAGAACAGAGAATTTCAAACATAAAGGGGCCTTATAACAAGAAGGATAATGAGATTTAAGTAATATAGTATGTTTTATAATATATTAAATGTTAAAATAGTAGGTTGATGTAACTTTTATTAATATATAAGTAAAATATAAACTGATTAAAAAGGATATTATATCTAGATACTATAAGACAGATAAAAAGTATAGTATTTTTATAATGCGTGACATAAAATATTGGGATGATGTACCTAAATGGGAAAATTTAGACAGTTAGATGACTAATATGAAGAAATTATGGCTGATAAGAATTGAATTGAATATAAGGGAATCTAAGCGAAATTATAAAAATAGGATGCATGCTGAACTAATGAGATGATGGTTATGAGAATAATATAAGCTGAAAAAAATGTTATATAAAGAGATTATTATTATTTGTATAAATATAAAAAATGTCTATACCTAATCATTTATATATTGAAAATATTAAGAATTATATTTTGGCTAAGGTTGAAGAAGGAAAATACAAATGGGAGAAGGGAAGATCAAATAAATGTATTATTAATATATTATGGGATTATAAAATTTAATCATTGTTGACTGTTAATTAATTATTACTGTCCTTTTTTTTCTTGTTAAAATATAAACCAAGAGAACACACTGTACACCAGGCACTGGAGACTGTTATACTTAAAAAATCAGTAAAATATCTATAAAAAAAAAAAAGAAAAGCAAATTAAGATGAGCATCCAAGTTGCTTGATCAAACAATTGCTAGGCCCAACAAAAAGACATTGGAATTATTTTATGAGTGTTATTGGAAGCTCACAATGAAATTATTTTCCGGGACCTTACAGAAAGTCCACCATAGAGCTAAAAAGTACAGCCTCCATGTATACTACTATGATTCTTTGGCTCTTGAATCAAGTGCTCCTCAGGCAGACATCCAGCATGCCTTGTAGAAGCATTCCTGAAATTAGAGAAACACCAGTAATGAATTCTGTGTTTGGCTTAAAGTTTGGCTGCTGTATCTCAATACCAGCTTACTTTTCCTCTGGATATGGAGGATGGAAGAGACAATGTGATAAATCTGAAATAATAGACACAGATAAGACTAGATGTTCCAACAAAACAGACACTTTCCGTTGACTAGGGAAAGATGAAAAATAGCATCTTTAAATGGAGTATGCACTCAAATGACATATAGACCTCAAGTAGATAAAGAGTGCAAATGTTTTGGGGGGAAATTTGCAAGAGAACCTATTAATTTACTGTAGCACTAAAGAGACTAGTATTTTATACACTTAAACAAATAACTATGATGGCAAGCAGTAGCTATTGGGATAATCACATTATTTTAAGAGCCATAAGAGTTATTTAGCCTCTTGATGCGGGTGAAGAAAGAGAGTGCAAAAGTTGGCTTGAAACTCAACATTAAGAAAACTAAAATCATGGCATCCGGCCCTCTCAATTCCTGGCAATAAATGGGGAAGAAATGGAGGTAGTGACAGATTTTATTTTTCTGGGCTCCAAGATCACCTCAGATGGGGACTGCAGCCAAGAAATTAAAAGACGCTTGCTCCTGGGGAGAAAAGCTATAGCAAATCTAGACAGCATACTAAAAAGCAGAGACATCACCCTGTCAACAAAAGTGCGTATAGTCCAGGCCATGGTTTTCCCAGTTGCAATGTATGGCTGTGAAAGTTGGACCATAAGAAAGGCTGAGCGCCAAAGAATTGAGGCCTTTGAATTATGGTGCTGGAGAAGACTCCTGCGAGTCCCTTGGACTGCAAGGCGTTCAAACCGGTCAGTCCTAGAAGAGATCAACCCCGACTGCTCTTTAGAAGGCCAGATCCTGAAGTTGAAACTCAAATACTTTGGCCACCTAATGAGAAGAAGGACTCACTGGAGAAGGGCCTAATGCTGGGAAAGATTGAGGGCAATAGAAGAAGGGGACGACAGAGAATGAGATGGCTGGATGGAGTCACTGAAGCAGTAGGTGTGAACTTAAATGGACTCCAGAAGATGGTAGAGGACAGGAAGACCTGGAGGAACGTTGTCCGTGGGGTTGCGATGGGTCGGACACGACTTCGCAATTAACAACAACAACAAGAGTTATTTTGGGGGGAAAGGAGGAAAAACATTTTTACTTGTTTATTATTAGAACAATGCTAATTCAGAACAATATAATGATATAGTAAAGCAGCAACAGGTATGTGGGCTTGTGACTTATTTCCTCACCTGTTGGCTAGAAGCATCGTCTTCATCTTCTGACCAAGCTGGTTTGATGGGAAATAGAAGATCCCTTTTTTCATCCCCTGCTCCCCATGGCAAGCCCTCATCATCTGTGGATTCATTCTCTGTGGTGGAATCATCACGTTCCCCATCAGTAAGATTCAGGAGAGAAACATTAGTACAAGCAGAAGAACGCTTCAAGTTCAGATTAGGACTTTCACTGGTAAAATGGGGCTTAACTCTGGGTTGGGAAAAAGCACACATATTATCCTTAGATAATAATAATGGACTACATTTTTCTTACACAATATATTACAGAATATATTTATGGTAGTTTTGATAATTTACTACAATAAAGAGCCTCATGATGCCTCAATGGCTAACATATTTCTTGGCAACCTAAACTTTTGGGGACCAAAAACAACCCTTGGCTGGTAGCAATTTTATCATTTTTTCTGCCATGCTTTCTAAACTCCTTTCATGAGCAAACAGTTGTCAATACATGAAGATATGAAAATAATGACAGACAAAATCCTAGTTCACTTCTCCCAAGCATGATGCTTTCTAAGTTTGTGTTTGTTGTTAACATCCCCAACTTATGGGATTACTATATCGAAATTCTGGAATATCGTCCTGGAAATTTTGAGAATTGAAATCCAATACATTGTTAGAACATCTGGTTTTACTTATGTATTACATTATTTATATATTACAGCCAAGTTAACACATTTTGGGTGACTTACATGTTATCATATCCCTTTACCAATAAATTTAAGCAATAGACCATTCCAAAGAGATAGGGCAACTATCAAAAAGACTCCCATCTCCATTACTTCTTAAAGTGGGGGGGGGAGTGGATTCCAAAGAAGCCCCTCCCAGGTAGGACCCACAACATCTATGTGAAGAAGATGGTTCCTAAAGTATCATAGCCCAACAGGGGGAAGGTTTTATAGAATAAAATAAGGATTTTCTATAGGGAAATTTATTGTTAACCAATATATAGTTCACAGGCCAATGTTACCCTGCTGAAGCAGGTCTCAGCTCGCAGCCTATGGGCACCAACTTGAGTTTTAAGTAATCTTCAAAGGCAGCCCACGAAGAGTATATTGGAATAAACAATGTTGAGGCAAGGAGGATAAGAGTGTCTGTCAAAGTCTTTCATTCCCAAGGAACACAATGGAAACACTAGACAACACTTGGGAAAGGCTTCCTTCGTAATATAATCCACCTGCTAATCATACAGAATGATCCCTATTTTTATCCTAACTCTGTCAAGGAATGTGAATCTCTCCAAAGCCAACACTGGGGCACAAAATAAGACCAATTGTTTCTGAACAAGCAATAACATCCTCATGCTATGATTCAGTTTTGTTGTTGTTGTTAATTGCATCGCAATTAACTATAACCCATCGCAACCCCATGGACAACGTTCCTCCAGGTCTTCCTGTCCTCTACCATCTTCTGGAGTCCATTTAAGTTCACACCTACTGCTTCAGTGACTCCATCCAGCCATCTCATTCTCTGTCGTCCCCTTCTTCTATTGCCCTCAATCTTTCCCAGCATTAGGCCCTTCTCCAGTGAGTCCTTCCTTCTCATTAGGTGGCCAAAGTATTTGAGTTTCAACTTCAGGATCTGGCCTTCTAAAGAGCAGTTGGGGTTAATCTCTTTTAGGACTGACCGGTTTGAACACCTTGCAGTCCAAGGGACTCGCAGGAGTCTTCTCCAGCACCATAGTTCAAAGGCCTCAATTCTTTGGCATTCAGCCTTTCTTATGGTCCAACTTTCACAGCCATACATTGCAACTGGGAAAACCATGGCCTGGACTATACGCACTTTTGTTGGCAGGGTGATGTCTCTGCTTTTTAGTATGCTGTCTAGATTTGCCATAGCTTTCCTCCCCAGGAGCAAGCGTCTTTTAATTTCTTGGCTGCAGTCCCCATCTGAGGTGATCTTGGAGCCCAGAAAAATAAAATCTGTCACTACCTCCATTTCTTCCCCATCCATTTGCCAGGAATTGAGAGGGCCGGATGCCATGATTTTGGTTTTCTTAATATTGAGTTTCAAGCCAACTTTTGTACTCTCCTTCTTCACCCGCATCAAGAGGCTTCAGTTTACCCCACCTGAAAATTTCTCTGCATTTCCTGCTCTGTTCAGGCTATAAAGTTTGGTGTCGTTATGTGTAATGTAGTACATACTGTTGAACTTTACCTCTAAATCAACAAATGACTTTTCCCAGTGGTTTCTTTAAATAACAAAAAGAGGAGAGATAAGAGGAGAGAGAATGGAATCCTAGAGCATTGTACATTCAAATGCCATATAGTGTCACTTCTGTTGTCTTCTCTTGACATTACAAATACAACCAAAAAATGGAACCACTGCAGAATAATGCCACCCACCCACCATCACATCTATCCATTTCTTAGATAGTCCAAAAAACTTTCATGGTCAGTTGTACAAAACATTACTGAAAAGTTTAATTGGATGAGGAATTCAAGCTGCTCATGGCAAAATTAATGTCACAGAGGACCCTGTCTGCTACCTCAGAGTTCACAATATCAAACCAAGTGCAAATGACTGTGTAAGATACTGTTTCAGCCACTCTGTAGGATTCTAAGTTAGCTCAAAGTCTATAGAAAAGGCTACATTTAGAAAAAGTCACCGGGGAAAAATAAATCAAGCACATACAAAGCCAGGATTTCTGAGATCTCAGTGACAACCATCTTAAGGTGCAATTTCTAATCTAGCTGAGTGAACAAATGTCTCACTTAAGAAAGCAGTATTTAACAGCCATACGTATGGAAAACCTGGATGTTTCTTCAGAACTATAATTTGGACCAGAAAATGAAGAAAATAATGGGAAGGAGTTTTTTTCTCCCACTTGCCTGGATAGAAATCAGAAATGAGTTTTTAAAAAGGAGCAATGATTCATATGTTTTGCTAAAAAGGGTAAACTAAAGTGTGAGCTCCTGAACTTGAATCAGCACAAAGTATGCAGAAGGGCTTACTAGCTTTTAAGTTGCATGTTATTGGAACAAAAAACCAATTTGATTTGATGGAATCACTCTAGAACATGGATGTCATGTGGCAGGTCGCGACGTATCGTGACTCTTTTTGCATTGCTGGCAATGGAGTGGGCGTGGCTTCAGTATGATGAAACCAGTACAGAGAACAGCAACAAAGATGATTAGGGGACTGCAGGTTAAAACATACAAGGAACAGTTACTGGAATTGGGTATGTCTAGTTTAATGAAGAGAAGGACGAGAGGGGACATGATAGCAGTGTTCCAATATCTCAGGGGCTGCCATAAAGAAGAGGGAGTCAAGCTATTCTCCAAGGCGCCTAAAGGCAGGACAAGAAGCAACGGATGGAAACTAATCAAGGAGAGAAGCAACCTAGAATTAAGGAGAAACTTCCTGACAGTGAGAACAATTAATCAGTGGAACAACCTGCCTCCAGAAGCAGTGAATGCTCCAGCACTGGAAGTTTTTAACGAGAGACTGGACAGCTATTTGTCTGAAATGATATTGGGTTTCCTGCCTGAGCAGGGAGTTAACTGGACCTTCAAGGTCCCTTCCAACTTTATTATTATTGTTGTTGTTGTTATGGTTATGGTTATTATTATTATTATATCGTACCTGCTCTAGATCAGATGCGATTATCTACTTAGCCTAATGCTGAACTAGAAACTCATTATTCTCATACTGACCATGAGGCCACAAATTCTGGAAGCTATAGTCCAGCAAAGCTGGGATCTGAGGGCAGCAACTCTCCAAATTCTGGAGGAAAAGATTTTTTTTTTTTTTTTTTTTTTTTTTGCATCATCTGCTTTGGTCTTTTCACCTGAAGATCCCTGGGACTGAATCTGAAAACATCTGTAGGCAAACAGATGTGCTACTAGCATACTCACACCCCTGTACAAAATTTGCTACAACAAATACATTGAACTCTACCTCCATTCTTTCCCTTCCCAGATCACTCACCCATGGAAAGGGATACCTTTCTTCTTTTGGGAGATACTAGCAGTCTTTCCAAACTCCTCCTTGCTGCCTTGAGTCTGACTCTCAATTCCTGTTGGTGTGTCTCCAGCCTCATTTATTTCTTTGAATTGCCAGATGGTTTTCACCATGTTGGCCATTACTGGTTTGGGGGTCGATATCTGGTACGAGCACAAATTTTCTTGCCTGTACCTGGGAACATCTATCACTTATAATCCAGAGCGCCTCCAAGTAGGGCAAGGATCTACCAGCTGCTCCTATGACCTCACAACAGTTGCCATGGTGCTGACAATCATGTGACTCCAATTTTCCATCAACCATTTATATCACCAACATTCTATGATGTCGGTATAGAGTTCAATGGAAAGAAAATTAATCCAAAGCTGTAATGCTGACCTCAAAAGTATTGCATAGATATAACTGAATCATGTTGAACTATGGCTTAGCTATATGTGAAACCCAAACATCATTAAAAATTTCAAACCAATTTATTTAAATGAAATCGTCTTTTTTTTAAACAAAATTCATTTAGCTCTGCCTGCGTGTCTTCCTCTTAGTTACAATCACTTACAGTTTCAGACATCAGAGATAAATACGGCCAGGCCTTGCATCCCATCTTCCTTGGAAATGGCTGGCAGAGTCATGATAGTGGATTGGGACCTCAGCAATGCTGCGTTCCATGCCTGGACTTTGTCTAGTTGCACCAAACTGACCTAAACATATTTGATTGGCCCCTCGTTTCATCTGTCACAAAACATTTTCACAGCCTATTGAGCAGAGGTGCTGCTTTTCAAACCTGCGGTGCTTTCTATTGACAGAGAAGTCAATAAGTCAGCCTTCCCTAGCTTGTTTATTTATTTATTTATAGAGCTGATGCAAGCACTAACCAATGTGCATTAGTGGAGAACCTAGACATGAAACAGAACAGCAGAGAAGCTTGGAAACTCCTGAAAAATATAGGTGGAGACAGAACAAAACCACAATAAAATCAAGCGTCAGAAGAGACGTCTAGAGCGACGCTGGAGGGCTAGTAACTCCGAATCCGACTGGACACTTCTAAGAGCCTATATTAGGACTTATTTAGTGGCGATACGAGCGGCAAAATGTTCCAATTTTTCCGCACTTATTGCGTCTGCAGAATCTCGCCCCGCCGCCCTGTTTAGGGTGACCCGTTCCCTACTTAACGTTCGGGAAGCCGGGGAGCCCTTTCAGGGTAGAGCGGAGGAATTTGTGCAATTCCTATCAGACAAAATCGCTCGGATTCAGACAGACCTAGACTCCGATTGGGCAGGGCCTTCTGAGATGACTGGGGCAGGTCTTAGCTCAGTTTTATGGGATGAATTTGAGTCTGTGACCGCTGAGGATGTTGACAGAGCGGTGGGAGCAATGAGCGCCTCCACTTGTTTATTGGACCCGTGTCCTTTCTGGTTGGTCTCGGCTGCCAAGGAGGTGACACGAGGCTGGCTCCAGGTGTTGATCAACGCTTCATTGAGGGAGAGGTCTTTTCCGCAATCCTTGAAGGAGGCGGTTGTGAGGCCCCTTCTCAAGAAGCCTACCCTGGACCTGGCTGACTTAAATAACTTCCGTCCAGTCTCCAATCTCCCCTTTTTGGGGAAGGTTGTAGAGAGAGTGGTGGCGCTCCAGCTCCGACGGTCTCTGGATGAAGCGGATTATCTAGACCCTTTTCAATCTGGCTTCAGGCCCAGCTTCAGCACAGAAACCGCTTTGGTCGTGCTGATGGATGATCTCTGGCAGGCCCGAGACAGGGGTTATTCCTCTGCCTTGGTGCTACTTGACCTCTCAGCGGCTTTTGATACCATCGATCATGGTATCCTTTTGCGACGACTTGAAGGGGTGGGAGTGGGAGGCACCGTTTTACGGTAGTTCTCCTCCTACCTCTCTGGCCGGTCGCAATCGGTACTGGTGGGAGGGCAGAGGTCAACCCCGAGGCCCCTTGAATGCGGTGTGCCGCAGGGGTCGGTCCTCTCCCCCCTCCTATTTAACATTTATATGAAGCCGCTGGGTGAGATCATCAGACAGCACGGGGTGAGGTTTCATCAGTATGCTGATGATACCCAGTTATATATCTCCTCCCCGAGCTCTCTCAGTGAAGCGGCCGATGTGATGGGCCATTGCCTCGAAGCCGTGAGGGTCTGGATGGGGGTTAACAGACTCAGGCTCAATCCTGACAAGACCGAGTGGCTTTGGATGTTGCCTCCCAAGGATCATGTCGACTGTCCAGTGTTGACTCTTGCGGGGGAAAATATACCCCCTTCGGAGCGGGTTCGCAACTTGGGTGTCCTCCTTGATCCACAGCTGAATTTGGAACATCATTTGACGGCTGTGGCTGGGAGGACCTTTGCACAAGTTCATCTGTTGCACCAGTTGCGACCCTACCTGGACCGGGAGGCTTTCCTTACAGTCACTCATGCCCTTGTCACCTCACGTCTGGACTACTGCAACGCGCTCTACATGGGGCTACCCTTGAAAAGTATTTGGAGACTACAGTTGGTCCAGAATGCAGCCGCGCGAGTGATAGCGGGTGCTCCTCGATACACCCACATTACACCTATCCTCCATGAGCTGCACTGGTTGCCTGTTGGTCTCCGGGTCCAATTCAAGGTGGTTATTACCTTTAAAGCCCTATATGGCTCAGGGCCAGGCTATTTGCGAGACCGCCTACTACCTCATAGTTCCCTTCGTCCAGTTAGATCCCACAGGCTGGGCCTCCTTCAGGTCCCGTTGGCCAAGCAGTGCCATTTGGCGGGGCCGCGAAGGAGGGCTTTCTCTGTGATGGCGCCCACGTTTTGGAACCAGCTCCTCCTGGAGATTAGGACCGCTCCCACCCTGTTGGTTTTCCATAAGTTGCTTAAGACCTGGCTTTTCCGGCAGGCCTGGGGTTTATAAAATCTGACCCCTGGATGACTGTTCTTGTACTGTTTGTCTTGTTATGTTTTATGTGTTTTTATTGTTAGCCGCCCAGAGTCCTCCGGGAGTGGGGAGGCTTATAAATTTTAAAAATAAAAATAAAATAAATAAAAAAATAAAATATGGATGTAACAGCAGACCAAGTAGCTAGCCAGTTGCTGAAGAATAGAAAAACGAAAGATAAAAAGTGTGGAAACAAGCCATCCAAACAAGGGGTTAAATACCCCTTTTGTGGTATTTGGAGGAAATCATAAAGACTATGATAATGAATAAAGAAGCAGGTGTTGATGACATAAGAACAGAACATATAAAGCAGCTCGGTCCCCATACTCTGGAGCGGCTCCTGCAATTGATGAACAACTGTATAGCCATATTTAAGGTCCTGAAATTGGGGAGGCAGGCTAGAATTGCTGCCTTACTGAAACCTGGAAAAGACTCAGACGATCCAAAAAATTGCCAACCTGTATCACTCCTCTGCCACCTCTACAAGGCACTCAAAATTCATTGACGCAAAGATCATAAGGGAGCAAACAGGGTTTAGACCAGAGAGATCATGTGGCCAAATTATAAACCTTATGCAGCATATTGAGGATGGTTTTGAAACAAAGCTAATAACTGGAGTGGCTTTCTGGTAATATTACTGGAGATAATAAGCTTACAAGGCTCATTGGCAGCTCCCTCCAGAATCATAGATTTTATGTGACTGAATGGTAAAACAGTAGATGAAGGATGCAGAAGAATGGGCTGCCATAAGGAAGCGTATTATCTCCAACACTGTATAACATATATACAAACAACCAGTCCCCAACAACACACATCTATTCATCTATGTGGACAATACAGCAGCGGCTGCACAAGGATCAATTTTTTATCATATAGCTGGGAAACTTATGGTAGCATTAGGCTGTTCTGACACCAACTACTTAAACCCATCCCAAAGAAGACTCAAGTGTGTGCTTTCCATCTCCATGTGCTCCAAAACTGAGATGCAAGGGAAGAGTTGGATACTAAGTGACAAGGGAACCAACTATAGCACTGTTGAACACCAAAGTATCTCAGTATAACACTCGATAGGACACTTTCTTTTAAACAGCATTGCCTGGACACTAAGCCAAGGTCAGCTTGAGGAACAATATCAGGAAATTGATAAACTACACATGGAGAGCTCAACCATCTACATTGTGTACATCAGCTTTCGCCTTGAGCATCTCTGCAGCAGAGTACAGTGTGCTGTTCCAGTATGGGATGCATCTGCACACATGAAGCAAGTTGATACTGCCATCAGTATGCTTACTTATAAGTTGTCTCATCCCTAAACTAATTGAGAAAATATACCCTCTTGCTGGCCTTGCCCCACCTAAGATCAGAAGAGAAGTAGCAGAGAATCTGAGAGAACTAAGCAAGAGAATGATCCTCGAACATCCTCTAAAGGGACATATGCCCCAAGGCCGCTGAGACCAAGGAACAACTTTATGGTAAGAAAAAGCATTCTTGAAGGTACAAAGAACAAAATCGAATTAAAAATGTTAAAAATAGAGGAAGGAGACCATTAAGCAAGGAATAACATTAAAGGAGTATAAAGCTGAAGTATCTGACCTCTCTTATACTATTTGGAGGAACCTGAATAGGTTGAGAGTGTATGTGTAAAACCAAAACACCCAAGTGGAGGCTCTTGAATGACAATAACACAGAGAGCCTTGTCCATTAGCTGGCATGTTCTTGTTAGTTGCGAAGTTGTGTCCGACCCATCGCGATCCCATGGACAACATTCCTCCAGGCCTTCCTGTCCTCTACCATCTTCTAGAGTCCATTTAAGCTCACGCCTACTGCTTCAGTGACTCCATCCAGCCATCTCATTCTCTGTTGTCCCCTTCTTCTATTGCCCTCAATCTTTCCTAGCATTAGGCTCTTTTCCAGTGAGTCCTTCCTTCTCATTAGGTGGCCAAAGTACTTGAGTTTCAACTTCTGGCCTTCTAAAGAGCAGTAAGGGTTGATCTCCTCTAGAACTGACCGGTTTGATCGCCTTGCAGTCCAGGGGACTCGCAGGAGTTTTCTCCAGCACCATAGTTCAAAGGCCGCAGCAGCCAGCCTTCTTCTGGTAAATAGGTTTAAATCCCGCCTGCTCTTCTCCCTATTGGATCTGGTGAATCTTAATGTCAAATAAGTCCCCTCTACAGCTCTGCATTTTCCATTGGGGATAGGTTCACAAGAAGCCCGCCTAAGCCTGCCTCCCCCTGTGCCCCTTCGGTTTGAATATCTTGATAGATTTTAAGAAATGTCATTCAAAGGCCGCCCCGCCCATTTCCTCCTCGACCTGAGTGATGCTTCTTGCGAAATCGGCAAGCTGAACCTCCGGTCGGTGCTGGGCGGGGGACGGTTCTTGAAAGCTGTTATTGGGCAAGAAATCCACGTCCTCCAAGCCCTTCCGTGGCTCATTGGCTGAAAAGGCTGACGGTGGAACGGCGGCAAAAGAAAGGCTGTGGAGAAGAGGCTTGGAAACCGAGCTGCCTTTCCTGGGAAAGAGCGACGGGGGCCGTCATCAAATTCCAGCCAATTGGCTTTGAGAGTAGAAGGCACAACGATCAAGGGCGTGTGGGGGGTAGTGGTTCTCTCTTCTAGTCAACGTTGCCGGTTGGGCGATCAACTTTAGTTTTTCGGGTTACTTTGGGGCTATATTGGGTGCTTTTAAGGCCTTTAGATATGGGACGATATAGCATACTGGCATGAATAATTGCAAAATGTATCTCAAGGGCATAGATGATGCCCGCACACCGAATCGGTCAACTGGCCTCCTCCCCTCTCACTGCATCACCTCATTCTCCAAATCCAGCTTATTCTTTCTCTTCCCCCACTTTCCACCTCCTTTCCCAAGGTCTCTTTTGCAAAACTAGAAGGGGGTTCACACTTGCAACCTCCAACATCCCTCCCCTTAATATTTGGACTCATCAACCTTTCCTGAATTCCTGGCATCCGGATGTTTCCATTCCCTCCCATTTTTTCTTCTCCCCCATCTTTGTGGCCAGGTTTGCTGCCGCTGCTGTTTACCCGGCTCAGCTCAGTCCCGCATCTCCTGAGACGGTGCCTTCCCGTGCATGCAATAAAACAGTCACGGACCGGCAAAGAAAACTCCGACGCTGCTGATGGGCACAAAACGGCTCCCATTTCGAGTTACCCTTTGCATGCCTTTCCTTGGCGTGTTGGAGGGTGGAGGTCAGTTGAGGGAAATTTTTGGCGTTTTGCTCATTTATTTAAATATATTCATCTCCCTATATTGCTTGAATACAGCTTCAAAAAGTGAAGCAGTCTGATTTTGCATAATTCTGATGGGAAAGTTTAAAGCTTTGTTTAATACATAATGGCTTGCATTTATGTTAAGGTATAGACAGATTTTTATTTACTCAGATAAAACCAATATATTAGTGTATGGTTTAGTCTTATTGGAAACTAACTAATTAATATAGTTATTGCATTCATATCCTGACTTTTCTTTGGGAATTCAAGTTGACATGTATGGAGCTGTTTTCTCATATTATATCCAGCACAACAATCCTGTCAATAGGTAAGTAAGAACAACTTGATAAAATCAGGTCCAAATATATTGTGGAATGTGTATCAATTCAGTTGTGGTTGACTCAGTAAACAATAGTTAAGCATCAATTCAACTGTTGTAGTTAGTTGACACCTCATGTTGATCAAAAAGAAAGACAAACTTATGAATGTTTCCTTTGATTCACTATAGACAATATTAGCCTTTGGTTTAGCATTGTATTTGAACCAGCCCATTGCCAAAGCAATCATCTAAATGTTTTGGATAGTTTGTGAGTTATGTGTTTTGCTTAACAATAGCAATAGCATGTAGACTTATATACTGCTTCACAGTGCTTCACAGCCCTCTCTAAGCGGTTTACAGAGTCAGCATATTGTCCCAAACAATCTGGATTCTCTTTTACCAACCTCAGAAAAATGGAAGACTGAGTCAACCTTCAGCCAGTGAGAATTGAACTGGCAGCAGCTGGCAGTCAGCAGAAGTAGCATGCAGTACTGCATTCTAATCACTGTGCCACCACAGCTCATAATAAATAGCTAGGTATTTCAGAGAATGTTTTGGCTAATACCTTTTGATAGTGTGATTTCATTTTTAGCCCAACCTAGAATCTCTGCTGTGACTTTTAAGTTCATGATTCTTTACTGACAAATGCTGACACCAGCTGGATGCAAAAAAAGGGGGGGGGGAAATAAAGATAAGGAGGAGGATATTATAATTTTTATTGTATTCCAACTGTAAGTAATGAGATCATGTATGATCTTAAAGTTTATTTCTCAAATTCCCTTTGAGATTACATATGAGTTTATGGACAGAAGATTGGGAAATTAGATAGATATGGAAAATACAGCAAGTGAATACTTTATCTTTGTAGATTTGTATAGATGTTATATCCTTGAAGCTTGTGGAAGAGATAGGAAGCAGCAAACAGCACAAAAGTCATATAGACAGATTATTTGTAAAGCATAAAAAAGACAATTTCATTTAAATACATTGATTTGAAATTTTATATAATATTTGAGCCTACATATAGCTAACCCATAATGTATATTTGGTTTAGTTCCATTGTGCAGTGTGAACGTCACTCTGGGTGGTATGTAAGTCTGGCTGATTACTTAACTGTGATTCATAGAAAATTTACAAATTATAGCCTAGTGTAGCAGTTGAATCTAGACATTGCCTTCCTGTACAAGGTATAAAAGAGCAGTTAATTGTACGGTATTTGTTCAACTCAATCAATGCAATTCCTTCAGTGTCAGCATTACATCTTTGGATTAGTTTTCTTTCCATCGAAGCCATAGAATGTTGATGGTGCAAATTGTGGATGGAAGAGTGGGGTTATATGATTGGCGGCCCCGTGGCAACCATTGTGAGGTCATGAGAGCAGCTGGAAGATCCTTACCCTGCCTGGAGAGCCAGTTGGCTTATAGATAGTAGATATTTCCTGGTGTGGTACAGGCAAGAAAATCTGTGCTCATACCAGATATCGAACCCCAACCTATAATGGCCAACATTGTGGTGAAGACTATCTGGCAATCCAAAGAAATAAATGAGGCTGGAGACACACCGACAAGCATTGAGAGTCGAGCCCAGAGCAACAAGGATCAGCTTGGAAAGACTACTAGCATCAAGGGCTTTCCCAAAAAAAAGAAAGCTGTCTCTTTCCATGGGTAAATGACCGGGGGAGGGGAGGAAGGGTAGAAGTGAAATTCAGTGCACTACATATAGCAGGAAAGGGGATGCAGGGTGGCATTTCTGCTTTGCTTATAGATGGTTTTAGATTCAGTTCCAGGCATCTGGAAAGGCCGCTGGGAAGAGATTACAAAACAAAACACCCTTTTCTCCTTCAGTTCATCAGATCCCAGCTTTGTTGGACTATAACTCCCAGAACTTGTAGTCTGCATAAAGCTGGCCAAAAATAATGAATGTTTGTAGTCCAACACTGGGCTAAGTGGATAATGAATCTTCATCTGATCTAAGCAGGTACTACAACAGCGGTTATTGCTGACAATTCTGGCCAGGCATTGTGAGAAACCATTTAGATCTCTTTTGTACTATCTGTGAGATGGGTCTCTGTGTGAGTGGATGGATTGGTAGCACTAATCTGCAGTATTCACTGATTCATAAGTGAGTGATTCTAGTTGGTAATGTCAAAAGAAGAAATGAAATCTTTGGGCATTTTTATGTGCAGTGTCCCAGGACTTCATTCTCTCCCCTATCCTATTTAATATTTAAATGAAACCACTGGGAAAGGTCATTTCTTGGATTGGAGTTCAATAATATCTTCCTGATACCAAGCCTTGAACTGAGCAGGAGATGCATTTCTTCCAGTGTATGAAAGGTGAGGGATTGAATGGAACGGAATGAAACAAGGTAAAATTGAATCAAAGCAAGAGGATGTTACTGCTTGTTCAGAAACAACTGAGCTTCTTTTGTGGTCCTGTATTGGCTTTAGAGAGGATCACATTCTTTGATGAAGCTAGTGTGAAAATGGAGATCTTGCTATTTGATTAGCAGGTGGAATCTTTTACCAGAAAAGACTTTGCACAATGTTGTTTAGTGTTTCCTTTATATTTCTTGTTGAATGGGAGACCTTGGCAATAGTCCCTGTTATCCTTATAACATTGATTGTTCCAATATGTTCTGAGTTGGGCTGCCTTTGAAGATGTCCTAAAACTGTAGTTGGTACTCATTGGCTGGGAGCACAATCTGTTTCAATAGGATAACATTGGGCTGTGGTTCTTCCTTGGTTAACAATGAATTTTCTTGTATAAAATGCTGATTTTGATCTATGAAGCCTTTATTTGCTTTATGAACCATCTTCTTCAAATAGGTACAGTGCATCCTATTTCGGAGGAGCTTCTTTGGATTTCAAAAAATGATGGGGATGAGAGCTTTTTTGATAGTTACCCTATCTTTTTGGATCAGTCTGCCCCTCCCCCATTTTGTTTGAACTTATTGGATAAATAAATATGACCTCATGTAAGTCACCCAAAGAGTGTTGACTTGGCAGGCTGTAAGTGATGGAATAAATAAGATTAGATACCCTATCAATGTGTTGGATTTCAATTCTCAAAATTTCCAGAAGAATATTCCAGGATTTCAATATAGGAATCCCTTAAACTGAGGATGTTGAAGACCAACACATACATACAAACATCATATTTGGGAGAGGTGAGCTAGGATTTCATATTGTTTTCATATCTTCATATATTGATATTTATTTTCTCATAAAAGGAGTTTAGAAAGCTTAGTAGAAGTTAATAAAACTGATACCAGCCAAGGGTTGCTCTTAGTTTTCAAAAGCTTAGGTATCGAGCTTTGTGAAGCATCAAAAGACTCTTTGCTATAGATTGCTATATGCTATAGATTGCTATCTGCAATCGCTCTGCAGTATATTATGTAAGTAAGAAAGTAGTCAACAGCTGGATCTAAGCATAATGTATGCCCTTTTTCCCAAACCAGAGTTGAGCCCCATTTTACCAGTGAAAGTCCCAATCTGAATTTGAAGCGTTCTTCTGCTTGCACTAATGTTTCTCTCCTGAATCTAACTGATGGGGAACGTGATGATTCCACCACGGAGAATGAATCCACAGATGATGGAGGTCTACCAGGGGGAGCAGGAGGCGAAAGACGGGATCCTCTATTTCCTATCAAGCCAGCATGGTCAGAAGATGAAGATGAAAGTTCTAGCCAGCAAGTGAGGAAATGAACCACAATCCCACATACCTGTTGCTGCTTTCCTAGATAATTAATTTGCCCTGAGTTAGTATTGTTCTAATAATAGACAAGAAGAAAACATTTATGCCACTGCCATAAAAAACTGTCCTATGGCACTTTCAACAATACATTGATTAGCTCACTAGTTACCTGATGCCATGATACAATTACATATTTTTAAGATGCCATAAGATTCTTGACTCTTTAGTGCTATAATAGATTTACAGATTCTCCTTCTTCAAGTTTTCCCCCCAAAAAAGTTTGTATGCTTGATGCGTTTTAGGCCTGTTTATCTTTTCATATTCCACTTTGAAGATGTTGCTTCCAAGTCTCCCACATTTCCTTGGTGATTGGAAAGGATGAATCCTGTTGGAACTTCTAATTTTTTAAATTTATAATATAAAATATAAAAATATAAAAGCAAACAATGGGAAAAATAGGGGAGGGAAAAAGGAAAACAAGGGAAAAAGAAAGAAAAGGCATTGACTTCCGATTCCCTTTGGTGCTGTTAAATAAGATAATAACATCAAACCTCAACTTTTTACTTTATAAACTAGCCGTTTCTATAACAACAAATCTACCTAATCGGTAAAACTCAAAATCAAAGTTTAGTTTTTTTTTCACATCAAGCACAAAGTCCACAAACAGTTTCCAAGTAGAAACAAAAGTAGTTGTGTGGTTTTTTTTTTTTTAGTCAAAGCAGTCAATTTAGCCATCTCTCACTCCATCAACTTTTACAGCCATTCGTCCATTGTGGGAATCGAAATGGCCTTCCATTTTTGTGCATATAGTAATCTTAACATATTATATAACATCAAAGTTCCAATTTTTTTCCAAGTCTTTTTCCATTAAACCCAAAAGAAAAGTTCTGGTTTTACTTTTGTATTCACTTTAAGATTCTTCTGAATTAGGATATGAATCCTACTCTAATATTTTTTTTTGCTCTATCACATGTCCACCATAAATGATAAAAAGTCTCTTCTTTACATTTGCATTTCTAACATTCATTTGAAATACTTTTACACAGTCTTGACAACTTATCTGATATCTTAAATACCAATGATACGCCATCTTATAAAAAATGTCTTTTAAATTATGATTTAGTATAAATGTTAAACCTTTCATCCACATATTCTTTCATTGTTCAAGCATTACAGTAGATCCAAAGTTCCTTGTCCACTGAATCATTCAATGCTTCACATATTCATTTTCCAAATTCAAAAACAATTATAGATCTTAGCAATAATATGTTCATCACTACCACACAGTAGGATTTCCAATTCATTTTTAACAAAATCAAACCTATAACTCTTTTTGTCTAATTTAAATCTTTCTTTCAAATGTAAATATGTAAACCAAATGGCAGACACGTCCTTCTGATTCTAACTCCTCCTTAGACATGAGGATAGGATCACCAAAATTAAAAGATATTATTTAACCATAAGTCCACCAGTTGGGCTTTGCCACTATTTCTTTTCTGAAAAAAGCTTGCTGGGGGGACATCCAAAGAGGCACCTTCATAGAATACCTTGTTTTATATTTTCTCCAAACTCTTAGAATGGTATGTCTAACAAAGTGTTATTAAAATCAATATTTATTTTAACCTTGTCATACCATAAATAACTGTGCCCTCCAAATCTTAATTCATGACCTACTAGATCGAGTAGTCTCATATTCTAGAAATTCACCCACTCATTTAGCCAGACCAAACAACAAGCATTGAAATACAATTCCAAATCTAGTAAACCTAACCCCTCTCTTTCCTTAGCATCTTGCAGTAGTTTATATCTGATTCTTAGTTTTTTCCCTTGCCATATAAACTTAGAAATATCCATCTGCCATTGTTTAAATGGAGTATCAGTTGCAAGCATTGGTAAAGTTAATTATAGAAATTCTAGCCAATAGTGATAAATGCAGTTTATTCCATCTTAATAAGTTCTTTTTGATATCATTCCATTTATTCTGAAACAGTTTTGCATTTGTGTTTATGACCTCCAAATATTTCACCTTTTTCTGAACCCTAAAACCAGACTTTAGTCAATATATCACAGCTCTGTAAGATGATATTCTTAATAAGCATTGTTGTTTTCTGTTTATTTTAAACCCCACTAAAACCCCAAACTTATTTAATTACCTTATCAAATATTCTATATTATTGGGGATCTTGCAAGAATATAACCAAATCATCAGCAAATGCCCTCAAGTTATAAACTGTCTTCTTGATACTTATACCTGCTATTTTCTCATCTTGCCTAATCTTTATTCAAAACTTCCAACACCAAAATTTCACATGAATTGGTTAGATCAGCGTTAATAACAATTTTTTGCTTACTGTGACATATAAACTGTTTAACCCCTTGAATAAAATTCTCCCCAAAGTCCGTATCTTCCAAAACTTCAAACATAAAAGCCAAATTTAAATTTTTAAAGGCCTTCTCTGCATCTAAAAATATTGAAGCTGCCTGTTTCTCATTATGATATTGTAAATTCAATAATGTCAAAACAGTCCTCACATTGTCCTTTAACTGTCTTTTTGGCAGAAAGCCAGATTGATCTTCATGAATATATGCCTTACAACCTTCTTTAATCTTCCTGCCAGAACTGCAGCAAAAAGTTTATAGTTCTTGTTTAATAGTGAGATTGATCTGTAATACTATATCTTCGTAACCTTCTAATGTTGTCTATATCTGCTGTTTCAGAGGTATTATATTCTCCTCTCCAAAGAGGTATTTTTGCTATATATTTAAAGGAAGAGATGCTCATGGAGAGAGGGAATTGAATCTCCACTCCTCCCATTTAACCTTACCTCCTTGTTCTATTTTTCTTGAACAAGTTTTTTTTCTTGCCTGGTTAATTATCAGTAAAAAGACTAGAATGCAAGAACAGCGTTTCTAAATCAGAGAATGATTTAGATTTCCACATCAGTGTTATTGTCTTTTGCACTTAATATCAATGCATAAAATATATTTTAATGAGTGTATTTAGTAGTGATTAAATAATGTATTTCATTTTTTATTTTTGAACATAACTTTACTACATCATTTAAAAAGAAAGATTAAAAACTAACAACAGTTAATATTAGGAATGAAGACAGGAACAATAAGAGAAATAAAAAATGAATGTAGAAAATGCAGAAAATAAAAAATAGAGGAAAGAATTATAAAGAAGTATAAATGTAGATTAATCTCTTACTCCATGATTATATCATTGCTTACATTTTTTCCCTCTAATCTATTTTTTCCTAATCAAATCCATAGACTATTTCATTTTTTTTCTATTTCTCACAAAATGTCAATAAGGGGACTCTAGCCAGCATTAAAATTAGACAATGTCTTATCTCTAGTTAAGTTTGGTTATCTTTGCAAGTTCCATCATTTTCACCATCAATGATAAAATATCCCTTATTGGGTTACAAATTTATGTTGATTTACACGATAAATTTGAAATATCTTTGTACATTCTAGATAGTACTTTTGGTGACATGTACCATGATCCATTATTTTATAAAATGATTCTATGTAGGACTATAACACAAGGCAAATTTCAGCTCTTTCAATAATTTTTCTCATCATTCCATTCGTGTATTATAACCAAAGTTTTTAATCCATTTTATCATATCTTCTTTCCTGTTGTCTTATGTTTCAAATCTCAATAGTATATGTTGTTGTTGTTAGTTGCGAAGTTGTGTCTGACCCATCGCGATCCCATGGACAACATTCCTCCAGGCCTTCCTGTCCTCTGCCATCTACTGGAGTCCATTTAAGCTCACGCCTACTGCTTCAGTGACTCCATCCAGCCACCTCATTCTCTGTCGTCCCATTCTTCTATTGCCCTCAATCTTTCCCAGCATTAGGCCCTTCTCCAGTGAGTCCTTTCTTCTCATTAGGTGGCCAAAGTATTTGAGTTTCAACTTCAGGATCTGGCCTTCTAAAGAGCAGTCGGGGTTGATCTCCTTTAGGACTGACCGGTTTGATCATCTTGCAGTCCAGGGAACTTGCAGGAGTCTTCTGCAGCACCATAGTTCAAAGGCCTCAATTCTTTGGCACTCAGCCTTTCTTATGGTCCAACTTTCACAGCCATACATTGCAACTGGGAAAACCATGGCCTTGACTATACGTACTTTTGTTGGCAGGGTGATGTCTCTGCTTTTTAGTATGCTGTCTTAGATTTGCTATAGCTTTCCTCCCCAGGAGCAAGCGTCTTTTAATTTCTTGGCTGCAGTCCCCATCTGCGGTGATCTTGAGCCAGGAAGATTTCTTCCATTTCTTCCCCATCTATTTGCCAGGAATTGAGAGGGCCAGATGCTATGATCTTGGTTTTCTTAATGTTGAGTTTCAAGCCAACCTTTGCATTCTCCTTCACCCAGATCAAGAGGCTCTTTAGTTCCTCTTCACTTTCTGCCACTAGAGTGGTATCATCTGCATATCTTAGGTTGTTGATATACATTTTAGCAATAGCATATTCAGCATTTGTGCACAGTTCTTTTCAAATTCAGTCTTATTATGTTCAAAACCAAAAGATCTTTATCTGCTTTAAATTTTTGTAACAGTTGTACATAAGAAAACCATTAACATATATATCCTTTTATTGCCAGCTTTTCTCCTGATTTTATTTTATATTCTCCTTGACAAAATTTCTAAGATATCAGAATAACTATTTATGTTTAGTTTTTAGTGTTGTAATTTGGTATTATGATTACTGAATGCACCACTTCTATTTTCCATGATTAAAAATAGGCAGTCAACCTACTTTGCAAATTCCACCAATTAAGTCTTTTAAAAGAAAGCATTTCCCCACAGGTCTGAGACAGTTGCTTACATCAATTACAATTTTATGATGCACTTTTGTAGAAAAATTAATCTTTTAAAAATTCTCCTCATTATCTGTTTTAGACTTTCTTAGTTCATCCCTTGTCAAACTTTTCATCTCTTGTCAAGCTTTTTTGCAAAGTATTTTTTAAAAGTTAAATATTTAAATCTTCTTTTATGAATTTGTAATCCAAAAAATGTGCTTTCTTGTGGTAAAACAAAACTTCTCTAAAGCTGTAAAATAAATTTTAAATGTGGTTCAAAAATGGGGTGGCAGTCAAAATTAAACAATGTATTTCCCGTGGTAGAATCATTTGGAGTAAAAAAAATCTAAAACACATAATTTAAAAATAAAATTCTGAGTTTATTTCTAATTCATTCTTTTCCGTATCTATTGATATTGCAGGAGGAAAAATTAAAGAGAATCAAGTTCTTTTAATAGCAAGGAGCATTTTTGCCATTATTTGTTTCAAGAAAAATATTCCTTAAAAAAATCTTCATATCACTTGGTTGTTTAGGCAGTGGACTAGGAAAGAATTTGCCCACATAAATCTCTTCAAACATAGCCCACGAGATTAGCTTTTCTAGAAGATTTTACTCTCTTGTGATCCTCCTTCTACAGTGATCTATTTGTATCATTCTCCATTCCTCATTTGCTTTCTATACTTAGATATGGCCTTTTATATTGTTCCAAATATTTCTTTGTTCACTTTTCATGACCCTCAACAGCAACAAGCAAGTTTCTACTTTATGGCCTCCTGAGCCACTCAAAGATGTCACTAATTTCTTCTGTCACTTTCAGTAATGAATTCTTAGGTCCCTAAGAAGACCTTTCAGCTGACATTGAGCCTGAAATAAATGATTGGGAAGTGTGAAGAAGTCAGGAGTAAATGGATTATGTTTTGCTTCATCTGGTCCCTTCTTATACTCTCTCCCAGCAGGAAGTCAGCAACAGTGGCCTTTTGCGAGCCAAGGACTCCATTACCAGTCTCAAGGAGAGGACATCTAAGGTCAACCACCATCTTCAGAATCTGCAGGTCTGTAGGGTTTTTTTTGTTTTGTTTTTGTACAGACTACATAGCTGAAGAGTTAGGTTTCCACATTGACCATGTCTGTTTCTGCTTTTATTGCCAGGAATATAGAATGAATTTGTCTTTTTTTGAAGACTGCCAGTGAAAGAGTGTTTCACTGGGCCAGTTTGAGAGAGGAGAGGCTGAATTCTGTCCATCTTGTTGTAAAATCAGATCTGACTTTGCCTTCATTTTGATTGGCTTTATTGCTATTGTTTAATTTTTTTTAAACAATACTGTTGGCAAAAAAATAGTTAAAAATTAAAAAGCAAGAGTAAATATGTTGATCTTTAAGAAAATAAATTCATAATTAGGCAATTGAACCACTTAATTGACATAACCACTTAAATTGATATAACCCTTAACCAGAGAAAATCATACAAAAAAAAAAAGCAGAACGAAGTGTTGGTGGGGGAAAGGTAGGATTGGAATGAGGGAAAACATTTAAAAGTAGACTATGCATATTATCCATAAAATTAACATTTTGAATTTCCTTATAGCACTAGTAGTTAAGATTAGGCAGAAGTACAGAATAACAAAATAACAAAGTTGGAAGGAACCTTGAAGATCTTCTAGTCCAGCTCATGCTCAAGCACGAGACTCTATACAATTTTCAGACAAATGGCTGTCCAGTCTCTTCTTAAAATGCTCCAGTGATGGAGCACTCACAAGGCAAGCTTAAGGCAAGCTGTTCCAGTAGTTTATTGTTCTTAGTGTCATGAATTTTCTCCTTAGTTCTAGGTTCTCCTTGATTAGTTTCCATCCATTGCTTCTTGTCTTGCCTTCTGGTGCTTTGGAAAAATCCTTTTTGTGACAATCCCTCAAATATTGGAACACTGCTATCACGTCTCCCATAATCCTTTTTTTCACTAGATTAGAGATGCCCAATTCCTATAACTGTTCTTCATATGTTTTAGTCTCCAGCCCCCTAATCATCTTTGTTGCTCTTCTCTGTACTTTTTCCAGAATCTCAACATCTTTTTTATATTGTGGTGATCAAAACTGGATGCAGTATTCCAAGTGCAGTCTTACCAAGGCCATATAAAGTGGTACTGACTCTTCATGTGATCTTGATTCTATCCCTCTGTTAATGCAGTCTAGGATTGCATTGGCTCTTTTGGCAGATGCTGCACACAATTGGCTCATATTTAAGCAATTGTACACCAGGACTCCCAGATCCCTGGAGTTAATTCCAGGTTTAGGCAGAGATATAACAGAATTGTTTGAAAAGATCCAGTATTATTGCATACAAAATACATGAGCCTCTGCTTGTTTGGTTAGCATCAGTTTGCCTCTTTTCTCAACGTTTTCTAGAATGAAGTAATTGTGCTGTCCCATTTTTGAAATTCAATATACTGGTTCCTGTTTAGAAAAATCAATTTTCCTTTTATACTGTCGATTGTCAGCAGGAGCTATATTGATTTTTATGTGAAAGAAAAGAGATTGAATTACCTCCTAGGAGAAGCAAGGCTCTTTTCTTGCTTGGCCAAGGAAAGTGAGGCTTTGAGAGCCAAAATAATTCAGTAGTGAATTTTGTCAAGATGAAGAATAGTTAGAACAATTAATCAGTGGAACAACCTGCCTCCAGAAGCTGTGAATGCTCCAACACTGGAAGTTTTTAAGAAGAGATTGGACAGCCATTTGTTTGAAATGGTATAGGGTTTCCTGCCTAAGCAGGGGTTGGATTAGATGACCTCCAAGGTCCCTTCCAACATTATTATTGTTATTATTATAATGCCTTCCATGTGGTAGCTTGGCATGAAGCAAGGAACTGATAGGACCACAAGAGCCAACTATTTTCTGCCACACCTTTTCTTTCTTTTTATCATTTTCTCTTTTTCAAGTATTAGGTAGCAAAGATGGGACAGATAATTCTTACCAGTCAGTTGTTGAGAGTTTTGAAGAAGGCTGATAGCTACATGCTATCAAGTCTGACATACTTGAGGAGATGTGGGTTTCCAATTCCTTCTCACTTCTTGAGGTTTATTTATCTGAACGGTGGCCCCAAATATTTTTATATCTGTGAGGAAGATCAAATGGCCCCTCTCCTGCCTCTCTGTAAACATAAAAATGATACCGCTTATTAATTCCCTAGTTATAACAAAACTAGGTTCATGCTTTGTAATAAACCATGTTTGTCTGACCTTCATTTATTGAATAACCCACAGTGTGGACTGCTGTCAGAATTTGTTACAGGTTGTTCTTATACAAGATAGCTGCTAGCTTATCCAGCCAAAATGGGAGCAAATATTACCAGAAATTTAGCTTGTTGAGGCTCTTGGAAAAGCAACATGCTACTGGCATAGCATTAGCCACAGCTCTTTTGTTTGTGCATCAGGACATCCATGGAAGGGATGAGACTTATGGCTCAGTGGTATAATTCTGTTTACTCTGTTTTGATAACTAAAAACTAAAATGAGAATTGAAAAGCAATTCTCATAAGCAAGAACTTAGGGGTCCCTGTGCTTAATAGAAGTATGACTCCAGGGATGTGTCATTGAACTTTGAACATAACACAGTGTCTCCAAAATGAGATGTTTGTCCATGGCATTCTTATACAATTATGCCTATAAACCAGTGTGCTTCAGTCAGATTATGTACAATTCTCGTTTTAGTTTTTAGTGATTCTGCTATCACTTAGGCTTGGTGGTTTGGGATTTTATATGCATGTCTCTGCCCAAATAGTGTGACAGTGCATGTAGTTGTTGGAAATGAGGTGGAGCATTATCTACAATCATCCAACCAGCTCAAATAACAGAAATGAACATAGGGTCTATGTAACTTAGTGATGCTGGATAATGCTATGAAGATGCTAGATGAATGGGGCAGAGCTTTTCTAAGCGGATTGGAAAAGAAAGCTAACAATTTTCATTTGCTCCATCTGATCCATGCCAAAGACAGCGCAGCAGCATGCAACTGAGATGTTTCTGTATCAAAACAGCCCCTATGGATATGGAAGGGCACTCGGCCATCTTGACTCAGTTTTTATCTGGCTGAACTCTATAAAGGAGGGAAAAGAAGAGCCTTGTTGATTGTTTTGAATCTGCTAGAGAAGTAACAGATGAGGCATGTAGATCAAGGATGAAAGCCAGTTGGTATAGTTGTTAAGGCATCAGGCTAGAAACCAGGATAATGAATTCTAATCTGTGCATAAAACGAGCTGGGTGACTTGAGCCAGTCACTCTCTCTCAGCCTTAGGAATTAGGCAATGGCAAACCACATCTTCATTCTACCCAGTTAAAATTAGCTTTAGCATATCAAGTTTTTTTTAAAAAAGAAGAAGATATTTTTCAGCTTCCTTCCAGCTTCCACTTCTAAAGAAAAGAAACACAATGCTTATTGCAAATCCATATTAGTTCATTCCATTTGTTTGCTTGCTTGGCCTTTTAAGTTTTTTCCTATTCCCTAAAATTTCTTATAGGAAAGCTGTCGAAAGGTGACAAAATCTGTGGAGGATGCTGAAATTAAGACCAGTGTGCTGGAAGAAAATTCAGCCCTCCTGGAGGTGAGAGAGAAGATTTAAGACTTGCAGAAATATGGGGTGGTATCAACAGTACAAGTAATTCACAGCATGTGGAAAGGTAACAGCTGCTACAGAGCTATTAGATTGATGGAGAACAGTTGTACAAAAGTAAAATTATAAACAGAATTTGTGATCTGTGATTGCACTTAAGGAACCAAGACTAGTTTCCTCTAGCATAAACAGAGGTTGCAATTCAGGTTTCTAGATCTTTTGGAAGAAAAACGGAAACAAAAGCAATTTTCTATGGAGCTTTTCAAAATCAGAGTATTGAGCTGGGTTGGTCATCTGACCAGCTCTCTGTCACTTATCACAAAATGTCCATTTTTGCCTCTCCATCTGTTTCTTTTAAATTTTTCTCTTACCATCTTTGTCAAGAGATTCTTTTCAGATATTAAACCCCCCCCCCAAAAATATGGACCTTTTAGCAAAAGACAGCTACTATCGCATAGGGATTAAGGAGAGATTGCAGTTCAATTCTGCTGGCAATTATAAGATTGCTAGCTTATTTTTGTCACACAAAGTTCTTTCTCCAGGTTTTCCAAACACAATTATCTTATGTTGTAGGCCAGCCTGACAATATCAGGCTGGCCTACAGCACAATATAATTGTTTTGGAGAAAACTTGGAAGGAAGAGCTGTGTGTGACAAAAATAAGCACCTTCAATCATGATTCCTTGTGGCGTAATGTTTTTGGAACAATATGAAAGTGTTTTGTTGTCATATTTTCTGGAATTTTATTTTTAAATTCTCAGTCTCACTAGCATTGCATAATGCTTAAGCTTTGGATTGGCATTGAAAAGAAAGACGCACTAATGCTACCCCATTGTCACCTGTAGAAGCTCATTTTGTCAGTTCCTCCCTCTCTCAGCCCAGACTATTTCTCAGGGGTGCTGTTGCCAGAAATCAGGATTAGTGCTAAATTTGCTACTTTGAGTGAATAAAAGCTGGAGTAGAAATTTAATAAATTGTATCATTATTTATTGCCATAAGACTTCCCGATGGGCTGAGTACTACAGGTTTGACTCACTGCATGTTTCAGAATTAGCCAAGTTGCTACTCTCTGTAGATGAAAGGTGCAATGATGATAGAACAATATGGAAATTCAATATTGTCCTTCTTGCTAGGTTTCTGGTATAGGATAATTCTTTTTTAAATGCTGCCACTGATTCAGCTGCTTGCCCCTTTTATTCACCATCTTATTAAATTGAAAAGGATGGAATCACTCCCAAAGAAAACCACACCAAACTGCTTTCTTCTATGGAGGCACTGTTTTTTCCTCCAAACCTTTTGGATTACAGCAACTAAAGTTTCTAGCTAACCCAGCTAGACTGATTGGGAACTATGAGCATTGTAATAATTATACTCAGTGCCAAATTAATGTTATTGTTTCCCTGTCACTTCCCCCACTTTGTTTAGGAGAAACTACGTAACTTGCAGCAACAAGTTCAAGTAGAAGACTTTCGTTGGTAAGAACTCATAGCAGTGGTTGGAACAGGGGTGGCAAGTGGGGTCTCCAAAGAACTTTTGGACTTACTAGGCAAATTCAGCCATCTATGAAGAGAGTAATGCTGTTCAGTCATCAACAGCCTATGAGGTGTGCTGGAAGCTGGGCAATTGCGAAATCTTGGGGACGAGGAGGGCACAGATGAAAAGCCAAGCACGGCTTGCACCTTGGCTTGCTTTCCTCTGCTGGGAGAGATCAGGTCCTGTGAAGTGGGAGTGGAAAAGCCTTGGTTTTGCTAGAGGCACCAACTAATCAACCTGGTCTCTTTCATCACTCCTCACTTTAGGAAATGCATGCTGGAGCTGGCCCAGAAGGAAGCATTGCGGCTGCTGGCCCAGCTGGGGGTACGCTTGGAGGGGGTTCTTCCCCAGCGGGAAAGGACACAGGTGGAACAAGGCCAGGAGCTCAAGATGCTGCGGGAGGAACTGGATGAAGTCTCTACCACGTATGTGCTCTCCTGAGCAAACAGGCTTCCCTTTCTTTCCTCCAAAGAGCCCTCTTTTTCCCAGCAAAGAAAAGACCAGATTTCAGAGATGAAGTCAAGTACAATCCATTATTTACTGTACCCTAGACCTAAAATGCGAGAGATCCAATTAGATAACTTTTGCTAATATTCCTAGTTGGGGGTTTGCACCCTACCTAATTATAGAACTTTTTCCTCCTAAAGATTTGGTTTTAGAAAAGTTGACTACGACTTCCATGATCATCACTTTGTATTAAGAGTTATAATTATTTGTAGCTCTAATCCTGTAGAGAAGATTAGTATATTACTTGTTATAGCTTTGTTGACTTGGAATCAAGAAATCCTGATCATTATATATATATATATATTTTTAAAAAAGTGAAGTTTTCTACCGTTTGAGTCTTCCAAGAGCAAGCTTCATGAATCTGCCTATGGTCTCTTGGCCTTTTTTCTTCAGTAGGTTTTCTTCCACATTAATTAGACATAATTCTACCCAATTCTTCTCTTTGCTTAAAAAATACCAGGTGGTGCAAAATCAGATTCAGAATAAAAGAGGGTGGGTCTTATAATGTATTTTTAATAAAGCTCTATAATTGTAGATGAAATTCCATATTGAGCACTCCACATCTCATTGTAATGAAGAGGAAGAGAGAATAAAATGTATCAGGACAGAGTCTGCAGTATCTCCTGAAACACAAATGTCCCAAACCAGGAAGTCACTATTCTTTTGCCAACTTTTGATGTGAAAGGGCTGTAAAATGAGGTTGTTCCAATCTCAACACCTGCTCCAGGGATTGTGGCAGGCAAATTTACATCTCTCTGAGCCTTTACAGGGCTATGAATTTGGAAATTGTGGAAGTTTGCCCTTTTACTTACAGCTGCTTTCTTCTCTGGTAGGGCAAAACGGACTTCAGTGTCTCTCACTCAGCTTCGGACAGACCTGGATGGGCTCCTGGAAGACATATCCCGACATCTTGCAACATTGAAGAATATGGAAGCGTCTGACCGGCCTCCTTCTAATTGTGCTAGATGTTCCAGGTACCTAGTTAAACTCTGGGTCAGAATTGAAGAATACTGGCCAACCTGATAGCGAGAATCAGAAAGCTAGACTAAGGAAGGATGTGGAGATTAGGGAAAAGTTAGGTTTGATTTCCCCAATTTCACACAGATCAGTGATATAAAGCCTGTAAGAAATGTTTTGCTTAATCACAATTTATTAAACAAAGCATTACAAATAGTCTTCAATTTATGACCATAACTTAATCTGGAATTATGGTTACAAGTCATGGTGGTTGTTAAATTGATTATTGTGTGACTGCACCCAATTTTATCTTTTTTTGCAGAGGTCCTCAAGGAAATGCAGTGTTAATTAAGCGAAACCATAGTCCTTAGGTGAACCCATTTTACTCAATAGGTTTTTTGCTAGTAACCAGATACAAACATTAGAAATCAGCAAAAAAAAAAAAAAAAAAAAAAAAAAAAAAAAAAAAAAAAAAAAACTTGAAAAAGTTAGAGCAAAGAGCTCCAAATGCGAGTGATGCAGTTATTAAGTGAAGACTCCCTATATTAGCTACATTCGCACATTAAACCATAAATCATAGTTGGGCCTGGATTGCTGCTTGAATCCCCAGCCTGCTGGTAGACTGCAGGAGGTCTTCCAACGACTTTCTTATCCAAAAAGGGATGTGTCAGAGAGATTGTTGCTGACAGAAGAAATTATTAAAAAGTAGAAATATCTTTTACCCCTGGGACTCAAACTCCAATTCTCATGTTATTTGGCTTTTTTTGACTCAAAAAAAAATATACAGTACATTCTGGATTGTTTTTGGCATGTGGGATTTGGCATAACCTCAAAAGCTAAGATAAAACCAAACATAACATATTATGGCTTAGCATGGTTGACTGATTAAATCAATTTCTTAGCTTCCCAATTGACACATGAATCAGGGCAGCATACATCAATAGAAAACAATATGTAATAAACCTCCAACATTAAAATAGGATGAAATATATTCTTAAAGTAACTTCATCTAACCAAAACTAATCCACAAACAGTCCAATGGCACAAAATCTCCCACCCTGTATTTGGGGGAAAAAGCTAAATTTTGGTACCTTTAAGGTGTGTGGATTTCAGAATCCTGAGCCAATTCCTGATTCTCAAGCCTAGCATGAGTTGAAATCCACACAGCTTAAAGTCACCAAGGTTGAGAGATGCTTTCTTATTGGGTGGCCATGATGTATCAGAACAGCTACAAACTCTTAAGGTTTTTTTTATCAAGGACTATCCAAAATTTTTGCTCAAGCAGTCCATGAACAGTACGTCATCTAGAAATACTGACTTGATGTCATAGATTTTCTTTCATAGACCAGCAGGTAATTGCAGTTTTCCAGTTCACAGAAGAGACGATTCAATATTACAAAAACAAGTAAATTGACCTCATATGAGCAGTTAATTGGCTGCTGCTGAAAAATGCAGTTTTCTACAAAATCCAGTATCTGGCATTGGCTTTAGTTTCCTGAGAACATCTGTTTTCATTTATTTTAAAAACGCTCAAGTTGCTAAAACTCATGTTATTGGCATGCATGTTTAGAAGAAGAGCTGGGTTTTAAAATGGCTGCTTTTTAAAACTCTCTTCCCAACTTAGATATTTCATATCTATTGCCTACCTCCTCTCCTTCTTCTAATGATATTTTGACACCCCCACCCCCTTTGCCAGTTCTGGAAAAAGGAGAAATTGTCTAAAGCAATATTAAGTTTGACAGTGCTTTTTTGTTGTCTTTATGTTAAATAAGCTCACTTCCTGAGATATCTTATGTTATTTTCAGTGCAGTAAATTGCACTCTTCTGACATTGCATGGAGGGAGTTTCCTTGACGCTGTACCTGGGCTGTTTCTCTCTCTTTCAAGACTTTAACCAAGCATATTTTCTACATTTACTGACTGTGTAAATGACATTCCTTTTCCTTTTTTTTCACCTCCTGCTTCCCACCTACAGCTACAGCATTGTGAATACAGAGGTGCTGCGAAAGATGTTTGAGCATGCGATGGCACCCGTTTTGGAGGAGCTGAAGCAGCGGGCCCAATCAGAAGGCATATGCCCTAGCTGCCAGCGTTTGCAGAAGACGATGGCACAGCGAGGCACAGAGTAGACTAACCCCAGACCCTCCAGCCCCCAATAAAATGTTTCCAGAGTGCAACCTTTCTGGAGCATTTTTCTGACCCTAAGTGGATGCAGGCCAGATTGAGATGGCCTTGTACTGGGAAGTCTGGAGGCAGATTCACCTTGGCTATGGATCTACCATCTGCAAAGCTGCCGCATCCTGAATCTTGTTCCCATTCTATTCTGACATCAGTTCACCAAAACCTCTTGCAGAAGTTTGTCTAAACACTACTAAAAATAGTTTGAGAGATTGGAAGATGAACCCGTGATCTTCAGTGGGCAAAGCACTATTGCTTTGTCACTAAGCTTTTCTTCCTCTCACCTTGGCTCATACAGGGAATTCAGTCCATAGTCCAAGAGTTAAATGCAGCCTCTGAAAATCCTGTATGTGCTTTCCTGAGCAATTCTGTTAGGGCTGAATGTAGATTTAATGTGAGTAAAAGTGAAAGTCATTACATTGACAGGGAACAATCAGTGATATTAATTGTAATGATAAATGTAAATTAAATTTTGTTTTCTCCTGGCCCTGTTGATTTTGACGAGTGCAGCCTCCATATGCTTTTCCAAAGGTGAATGCTACAAATTGCTCAGCTATAGTTTTGCACTACCTTCCGATTGAATGATCTTCCTACCTACTTCCATGTTGCTCTTTTTCGCATTTGCGTCTATTTTCCTATAAACAATTCTTTGTACTTTGTAGGAAGGATAATAGCACTGAGGTTGGTGTAAGACAGTGAAATAACTTTGGGGAGCGGAAACCACCTTTCCATATCCAGTTGAATAAATCTAAAGGCATTCACAAAAATAGTGTATTGGTGATGTAACATATTGCCTGTTCAAGCTTCAGGTTTTGGGATATGTGAGCTCAGAACACAGTCGTTTTTTTTCATTAATAAGCAAAATAGCTTATGTCTGTTTCAAGTTTTTATTCTTCTTGTAAAGTTCACTGAAAGTTTAGTGTCAGTTTTGTTCTATTTTATTTATAAACACATCTTTTGCATATATAGAAATCCATCACTTTTGCATTGTTATTTATTCCCCGGACATAGTATCCTAGTCTCTTGGTAGTTATATGACAGACAATTTCCAGCTTGTGTCCTAATTTTAAAAGTACTCTGTAATTGATCTGTCACTACCCAGGTATTCCTGTAAAGGGAAATAAGGTGGGAGCCTGAGAAACAATAGGGTAGAAGAAAAGGAAGAAGAATCACTAAGGAGTTTCTAAATAAAATTGTGTGCGAAGATAAATTTAGTTTTGCTCTTTCTTTCCCTTCCAGCTTTTTGTGACATGTAGCTGAAATTGTCAAGAGAACACCAGCATTTGCCTGGGGCAGGCATTATTTGTTTAATCATTTTATATCCTTGTGCAGCCTTGTAACTAAGCTAGCAGTCTTTCTTGCAAAAGTTTTACTGGGTAAAAAGCTGAGCATAAGCTATTGCAAATCAAACTGAACTATAATGAGTCTCTTGATAGCCCACAAGTTAACACCAGTAAAGCAAAGATACCAAATTGGTAGTTCCAGGTATTTCCCTTCCTAAGAGATAAATGTGTACTAGGAATCCTACTTGTTGATGTTGACTATAATTACCTACCAAATGTCAGAAATATGTAAGTTATAGGTACTTGGGTTCATTCAGCTACCATTCAGTTATGACAGTGCTAAAAAAAGTGATTTACTATCATCTTTGCACTTACAAACCATTGTGCATCCCTGTGGTTATGTGATCAAAACTGGGTGCTTTGCAATCAGCATGTATTTAGGACAGTTGCAGTATCCTAGAGAATGGAAATCATGTGAAGGCATAAAATATCATAATATCAGGTGCACCTCAATGACTGCCTCACTTAGTGATGGACAGTCCCAATTATGGTTGTCAGTTGAGGTCTCCCTGTATCTGCTGTTCTGGGGACAGGGAGTGAAGCTAAAAGGTGTGAGTCATTTAAAAAATAAACTCAGTTCTCACATCCTATTTGATATCCACTGCCATTTCTCTGTCTATGGTAGCTCATAAATCATCCAAAATATAAACTAAAAGTGCATCTTTCTCATCTTTCAGCTGCTTAATAGTTGCTCAACCCTGCATTAAGATCTAAACTGTACTATAGTGTTTTTTTTTTTAAAAAAAAACCTATTTTCTTGTAGTTGATTATATTGTAAATGAAAGCTTCCTTCTCTTAGTCTATTTCACAGTATAACCTTCAAATTTCCAGAAACACAGGGACTGGGCTTTACACATATGCACAATCATGTTGCTTTGGATTCTCATTGGCAAATGGTTTTATCTTTTTTTTTTTTTTTTTTACAAAATATCTATTGGGATAGTGGGGTGGGAGGGGACCTGATGTTTTTGCTATCTATTTATTAGCCAGCCCTTGTAAGGATTGTCAGATCTGCAGGATCCAATGATTCTCAGCTTCAAACATTACCACTGAGTAATTAGATCATCATATCCAAATCTATCCTTTAGTACTTTTTTCTATGATTTTGCTTGCTACATCATTTGCTACAGTCACAGGTTAGAGCTAGACCGTGTCTTGTGACCCAGTGCACTCAAGGCATCAGGGGACAGTTGAATCCTGCAGAGGCAGCCCTGGGAGAATGCAGGATGCTTTTCCCTGTGGTACTTTGCTCTCTTAGGACAAACTGCTGACCTTGTTTGCTTTGTGACCCACAGCATCATGATTATAAGTATTGCACATATTATTTGCTTGGCTTGACATCCCAATGGGATAATGAGCTCTGTAGGCCTTTCTTTTCTCTCCTTTTTCCAATGTCCAATTGCTCTGATCAGTGGAAACAGGATCTGGAACAGCATTGGAGGCTCATGCACAAACAGAAGCACTACTGTAAGATCACCCACCTTAAACAAGTATGCCATGCAACATGCCATCCAAATGCCAAGCACTGCCCCAATCAAAAAAATTTGCATTCAACACACTAAAGATCTGAAAAAACTCCATCTTGCTTTGAGTTTTCAGAAGATTGAAGTGCAAAAGCTATTTTTTGGAAGTTGCATGAAATAGTAAGTCTGAATACGTGGGCCTAACACCATCTACCTTTCTAACTGCAGTATGGCAGTGCCCCATTTTTTCTATATACTTTTCCTAATATTTTTTCTTGTATGTTCCATAATTAAGCCGTTATATTTACAAAAAATAGCCTTCAGTGAAGATTCCAAATGACAGTTGCAGAAATTATACAAAAGGATGGTAGCCAAAACTACTTGCTAAATATCTGATAAAAGGACATTTAAAAGAGGCAGTATTAAGCATTCTGCAGCTGAGGGCTCCCTTCAAAACCTCTTGGTTTTCAGATGTGCTCCCTGTCACTTTCCAACCTTTCAGTTAACCAAAAGCAAACATTTTTGGCAAGAATTCCCACTCTATATAGAGTTTTATTAATATTTATAATGCTAAGAGAGATTAAGATTCCTTTCCCCTACACTGAATTTATTTCATTTCCTATTACCTTAGGCATTAAAGGGTGGGAATGAGGAACTCAGTTCTCAAAAATATTACCCATCATCCTATCTCAAGCATTTTATAAGGATACAATAATCATCACAGCCACAGGGACTGAGTCCTTCATATGTGAAGCATGGAATAAGCAGGCAACCAACCACTGAAATGGCTGGAGCACAGGGAGAAACTGACTGCGGATGGCTGAGGAGGCACAGCTTCAGAATATCCATGTGGGAGCTTGAAGCAGAAACCATGATGAGCTAATCTTCCAACTTTTCAGTTCTAATCCAGCAAAAATTCTTCATCCACAAACAAGTCTTGGTTAGCAATCTTCCCCATCAGATCTTTAGGAAATAAGAAATGTGGGCAGGATGAATAAGAACTCTTATTTGCCTAGAGATCTGTGGTATTTCATATATTATAGAACAGTGATAGTAAACCTTTTAGAGACCGAGTGCCCAAACTGCAACCCAAAACCCACTTATGTATCGTTGGGTGCCGGGTGGGGGGTGGCGAATTGGGTGGGAGTGGTCCATTGGTTGGGCGTGGCTGTGGTTGTCATGGCAGACTGGGTGGCCGTGGCACGCCACGGCCCACCTTGATCTTGCTTGTGGGGAGGGATGCCTGTGGGGGTTAGGTAGAGTTGGGGGAGATCCAGGGGGGTCTCTGGCGGGTGGGACGATGGGCAGGAGGCTCGTCCTGCGGGCTGAGGCAAGGCAGGGGCAGGGGTGCCATTGCCGCAGAGCAAGGCAAGGCGAGGCAGGGGTTGAGCAGCTGCTGCCTGACACCATTGGCCCGCACATACAGCGAGTGCATGGGAGCCAACTGTGTCCATCAGCAGAGACAGCCTGCTGGCCCCTTGACCAGCACATTCTGAGGCTCCGCAGCCCACTGAGAATACTGGGCCAGCCCTCCAGCAGCAAGCAGAATAGGGGAGGGGGGATCTGGTATATTGGTTCCTTACCTCTGCCCAGCTTGTTCCGCGGCCTCATGGCAACGGCATTGGATGTGATGCGCAAGGCTGCAAATGGCCAGTTTTGATGCGATGTGCCATTTGCCGCCTCACACTTCACATCCAATGCCGCTGCCATAAGGCTGCGGAACAAGCCGGGCGGAGGTAAGGAATAGGTATACAGGTTTCTTACTGCCATCCGGCTTGTTCTGTGGCCTTATGGCAGTGGCATTGGGCGTGATGTGCGAGGCAGCAAATGGCCAGTTTCAGTGCAATGTGGCTGTTTGCTGCTGGCCATGGCCATTTGCCGCCTCACACATCGCACCCAATGCCTCTGCCATGAGGCTGCGGAACAAGCCGGGCGGAAGTAACGAACCAGTATACCGGTTTCTTACCGCTGCCTGGCTTGTTCTACAGCTTCATTGTAGCGGCATTGGGCAGGAGGCAGCAAATGGCCGATTTCGGCACGATGCAGCTATTTGCTGCCTTGCATATTGTGCCCAATGCTGCTGCAATGCAGCTTGGCCAAAAATGGCTGTGGAATAAGTAGGGCAGGTTCCCCCCCTCACCTCCCCATTCAGCTACAGCTTTGGTGGCTCTGTAGGCTTACAGAGCCACCAAAGCAGCAGGTGGATCACTGAAGACTCCGGAAGAGAGGGTGCTGAAGTGGGTGGTCGGGCCATTGGCAAGAGCAACATGGTTGAGCAGGCAGCAGCCTCAGAACAAGTAAAGAAATAAATCCTTGCTCCCCCCAGAAATTGCCTTTCTTTCCTTACCTGACTCCCAGACCCATGCTGTTTCTCCTTTGTGATCCACCTCTGCCACCTGCAAAGACAAAGGAAGTTTTTTTTTGGGGGGGGAGGAAAGGTCAACCAATCAATTCCAACTTCTCATGAAAGATCGCAAAGTTGGGATTGACCTTTCCCCCCCCCCCCAAAAAAAATCTTCCTTTGTTTCCTTGCACGCTTCAGCACCCTCCCTCCCTAAGCTTCTGGCGCTCCACCTGCTGCTTTGGTTGGCCTGCCAGCCCCCAACTCAATGCCCTGCCCACCGCCGCCTAGCACGGCTGCCCCGTGGCTGCAGGGCTAGCCTGGCATGGGAAGGGCACACGCCCCATTCTCCCACCACCATGCAGGGAAAAGTTGCTGGGCCCACCCCTGTCCAGATGCTCTCGCCTCCCCCAAATGTTTTTTTTTACTAACCTACCTTTCAGCTGCATTCCGTTTCTCCATTCGCTTCTCAGCCTTTGCCACGTGTTTGTGGGACCATCGGTAAAAAAAAAAAAAGTTCCATCAGACTTTCTAACTTCTCGCAAGATCTCGTAATAAGTTAGAAAGTCTGATGAAACTTTTTATTTTTTACTGATAGTCCCACAAACACATGGTGAAGGCTGAGAAGCGAATGGAGAAATGGAATGCAGCTGAAAGGCAGGTTAGTAAAAAAAACACGTGGGGGAGGCAAGGACATCTGGGCAGAAGTGGGCCCGGCAACCTTATCCTTCATGGCTTTGGCAGGTGTCTGGCAGGGGGAGGGAAGCAATTGGTCTACCACCATGCTAACGCCGCCGCGTTACTTCTCTATCCCATGCACAGGCCCTGCCCCCCCTCCGCACCTTGGTCATCACTGCCATTGCCGCTACCATCACCCCACGAGACTGAGGCAGCTTCAAAACCGGGCAGGTCACCCCCCCTGCCTTTCTTTGTCATTGCTGCCGCCATCGTCCCTCGAGGCCAAGGCAGCTTCAAAAACTAGGCAGGCTGCCTCCCCCGCGCATCGCCATCACCGCCATTGCCACTGCCATTGCCCGACGAGGTCGAGGCAAATTCAGACACCAGGCAGGCCACCCCCCGCTACATGCCTTTCTTCGCCATTGCCATTGCCACCACCACCGTCGCCATCGCCACCACCCCACATGGCTGGGCACCCGGTGAGTGAATGCTGCCTCGTTGGGGCCTGCTGAGGCCAGCAGCCAGCCGAAGCAGCTTCAGACACCAGGCCACCCCTCCTTCTCCCCTGCGTGGCCGGCCGCTGAAACTTACCACTGTCGGCTCGTGCTTGCTCGCTGTCTGCACCAAATGCTGCTCCCGCCCAAAGTTGTTCGTTTTATAGCCTCACCCCACCCAGATCTCTCGCCTATTCCCAGACTCCGCATGCACGGAGAGGGGGAGGGGACCAGCTCGGCCCAGCATCCCTCTATCATTGGCAATGGCGCGCGTGCCGACAGAGACGGCTCTGTATGCCACCTGTGGCATGCGTGCCATAGGTTTGCCACCCGGCTATAGAATCTAGGCTTCCTAAATCCAAAGGTGAACTCTATTGTGCTTGCAGGGATCTTCAGGACTGGCCCCTGGACAGGGTCTAGGACCTTCAGGCATGGACCGTTGGCCATGCCTCCTTCTCCTCCCACCTCAGCCTATTTCTCTCCAGCGTTCCTCCTTGGCTGGCCCTCCCCCACCCATTCTCCCAGGCCAATGAGCCACTTGCCCTCCACCCCATGTCCTTCAGCCTGGCCCTTTCCCCAAGGCTCTCTTTGTCCCAGGCCTTTGACTGCATGGGACAGATAGCCATCAGCCAATCAGGTGGCAGGCAGGAAGCCATGGTGCTGCAAGGGCAGCCTGAGATGGGCAATGATTTTTTTTAAAAAGTACTGCCAGGTTTTGGAGCCTGGACTGGAGGGAGTAGCAGCCGCCACTAGACCACTGGGGGGGGGGCAGATAGGTGAGGGTATGGGGGGCAACCAGGAAGGGAGGGAGGTGCACCCCAAGCGGGTTTCACAAAGATGGCTTGGCTGGCAACTCAAATGAAGGAGGGGAGGAGGAGCAAGACCAACACTCTTCCGGGGGGGGGAGCAGGTGAATGGCAAGGCCTGCACAGCTCTTCTGGGGGGAGAGGAGGCAAACAGCAGGGCCTGCATGGCTCTTCTGGGGTGAGGGGGGAGCAGGCGAACGGCAAGGCCTGCACTGCAGTTTTGTTTTGTTTTTAAGCTGTCAGAGGCTCCAGGCAGAGCAGGGAACAGGTGGTTGGGGGCTTCCCATTTTGACCTCTCCCACCAGTTGTTGCCCTGTGCTTGGACTCTGACCTGACGGGCTTCTGTGTGGCTCTCTGCTCAGCCCTGGCGTTCGCCTGATTTCCCCCAGCAGGAGCTGCACAGACCCTGCGTTCGCCTCCCCCCCCCCCCGCAATGCCAGAAACTGTGCTAGCTTTGCTCCTCCCCCTATCCTTCATTTGAGTTGCTATCCAAACTGTCTTTGTGAAGCCTTGAGGGACCACTCCCTCCCTTCCTGGTTACCTCCCAACACACCCTTATCTATCTGCCCGCCCCCCCCCAGTGGTGGCTGCTACTCCTTCTGCCACTCCCCCTCCCTCTGGTCCTGGGGACAGAGCTGCCAGGCCCTAAAACCTGCGGAGCAGCCGCAGCACTTTTTAAAAAAATCATCGCCCATCGCAGGGTGCCCTTGCAGCACCATGGCTTCCTGCCACCCGCCCAGTTGGTCAGCGGCTATCTGTCCCATGCAGCCAAAAGCCCATGACAAAAGGGGGCCTCAGCGAAAGGGCCAGGCTGAAGGGCACGGGGCAGAGGGCAAGAGGCTCATTGGCCTGGGAGAATGTGCGGGGGGAAGCCAGCTGAGGAGGAATGCTGGAGGGAAATGAGCTGAGGCGGGAGGTGGAAGGAGAAGGAGGCATGGCCAACAGTCCGTACCTGAAGGTTCCATTCTGCCTGGGCCTCCTCCCCCCTCCCCCATTTCCAAAAATCCCTGCTGATTAGTGAACAGAAAAAAAACCCCTCAACATGTGTCAGTGATAACTAACTGTACAATCTTGCTGGCATTTATTCAGTCACTGGCCAACTGTGGCCTGGGCCAGTTTGTTCACTTGGAAAAGGATCAAGATGTCATTCATGGCTTTCCGGATATTAAACCCAAAACGGTGTGCATCCTGTAGGAAAGAAGAAAGATAAACAAATTTAGCTAAGAAAATAGAATAGATATACTAGTGAAATTTCAAAGCATAGACTTAGCATTACATAGATAAAACATCCAAGCAAGATTCAAATTGTATCATCTTAATAGGGGATGAGCATTCGAAGGCAGACAAACACCTTCATATTTTGTGGCAAGGGTTTCCCCAGGCAAATTGGAGAGCAGACAACTAATTCTGGAGAGCAGACAACTAATCCCTAACTATACACCCTAATTGTATGGGTTCCTAATACCTATCAAAACAAGTAGTTGCTTGTGTTTTTGTATTACATATGAACTCACACCAGTTTGGTTTATTCAACAAATCATGGTTCATCCAAAAGTAACTTAGTGCATTGAAAGAACCTAGCCGTTTATTTCCAACTTCTTGCTGTCATAAGAAAAGAACACTTATATACTTCAACACCTGTGGGGGAATATAGTTTGAATTGCATTCCAGAGGGCCAAGAGACAGCAAAGTTTAGATAGTTTGATTGGGAGAAAGAGAGTTAAGAGGGCTCCTCCCTAGCAATTCTCAGGTATATTCTTAATAATGCAAGCAGTTGCTTTAGTTTGGCAAAACTAGGTGAGGAACAATAAAGGAAATTGCTCAGAAGCAATTCTGTGTTGTTCTTAAGGACTGAGAGCACATGACATTTTACATGCTATAGTCCTTTTAGAAAACTCAGGCAACAATGGGAAAACAGCTCATGAAATAATTGATTCTGGGAAAGAAACAAGTCATGAAATCAGCAAGGGAATAGTAGTTGATTAAGTAGCAACAAGCAAGCTCAGTACTTATAATGACCATGATAAATATGGCATTTGCCACTGCACATTTATCTCTCAACATTTATCATTGAGACAGATAATTGCATATGTACAACATTACACTCTTTTAAATCTCTCGTCTAAAACTAAACTGCATTTTCTGTTGGCATTCAACTGGCAGAGGGCTGGGGGCATGAGACCATAACCATTATCTACATACACCATTGCTGCCATACTCAAATCACCAAGGTATCCTATTCCCCAGTCCACCATCCTATTCCCCAATACATCATCCTCTCCCCTGCTAAGAAAACCATTAGTCCAGACTCACTGTCCCTTGGCCGGAGAATTTGCATGACACGTGGAAATTGATGAGATCTTCACCGACAATGATGTAAGATACTCCATATCCATTATCATCAACCTTTCCATTGGCACAGAAGAAAAAGCAACATGAGGTAGGACTTTTGCTTCCAAAACCCCACGATTTTCCATAGCAAACAAGCATTCTTAGTGAATACAGGATTCCTGGGTTTCATAAATACGCATCCCCTCCAACTTTAAATTTCCCTCAAGAAAATCCAGGAATTTTTGTACTGCTTACCGGTCCAAATCCACCACCACAAGAAACATAGTCAGGATTATTCTGAAGGTCAAATAGTTCGATCTGTTGAATGGGAGTCTGACTAGTAGAGAGTCTCCATGGTTCAGATAATACCTGACAAAGAGGAAAGAAATCAGGGAATAAGCAGGGAGCTCTACTATTATTGACTTTCATTCTGTATTCCATAGCTCACTTATACAATATAGTGTTTCAAAGAAATTATAGATAGAGATTAGAAATTAAAGACAGAGAAAACATGTTTTAGAAACATGTTCAGCCCCAAATTCGCTATAAAAATCAACATTCATCCAAAGATGAACAGTTTAGTCCATACTCATTTATTGTGAATATATAATCAAAAGATAACTTTTGAAAATAAGGTAGAATGGGTTCTAACTTAATATACGAGAACTTGACAGATTTGGAGGCTGAAAAAGGATGTTTAGATACATAGTTAAAATAGCTCCCAGATTCTAGTGGATTTAAGAAAATTAGGAAATCTCCAAATTGATGGTTGTCTCTTTTAAGGGAAATTAACGTTTCCAGCAAGAAATATCACTTACATGTTTCAAAAACACAGAAACACAGTACTAAAAACAAATAAAATCAGTTGAAATCCTTCATTCTCACTGCTGAAAAAATATATGGCATTGTTATATTTTAATATAAATCACTTAAAGCTCCAAACAAGCATTTAGAATATGATATTTATTTGGTTAATTAATCATGAATAGATGAATAATAATCCAGCAAAGCTGCTTTACATTTTAAAAAATCCAGCAGATAAAATATTTTGACACATGGCATTCACAATGAGTCAAATGGACCTTGAGCTTTAAAACAAAACCTTTACACTTCTGGCTGAGTTCACTTCCTTTAGTGACAAAATTACAAATACCTATTTTAAAGGGGAAACGACCTTGACCATACTTATAGGAAGTTCTATCTCCAGAAATAGAAATGTGTTTTTTGTTTTGTTTAAATAGCTAATAGATCTATTTCAACCTATATATAAGATGAATATAAAATCTGAAGAGAATTGATTATTGTGATATTATCTTATGTATCCTTTTTATCAATTTAGCCTGGGATGAACTGAATACTTCTATTTTTGCCTCTTTGGACAAAAACATGCAAGATTCAAGATATAACCTGGAAGAAAAAACAACATTTTTCTCATTTTTCACCTCACTTTCTGAGAACAATTGATTTGGGGAACTGTGCCAACAGAGTTTACCTCACGCAGGAAAGGAGAATCCAGGCCAAGGTATTTTGAGACAACATAGAGGCAGAAAAGATGCCTATCGATGCCAGACCCTATCATGGCTTCCCGATAAAGATTCTGGTGTTTCTCAGCTGCTACTCGGAAGAGGCGTAATCTTGAATTATCCTGGAAAGAGAAATTGATTTGGCATGATTTAACAGGTTTTACTGTAGATCTTCATATTCTACACCCCCTTGAATATTCCTCAAATCTATCTAGGAGGACCAGATTCCACATATTTGCTGCCTCAACCTTTAGATTTTTCTTCACCTTATCAGGTGGTCTGGTAGATGGCAATTAAGGGCAAGGAATTTTCAGTGGTGGTACTGCATATCTGGAATGGCTTCCCTATCAAGGATCTACTTTCTTGTTCTATTTGTTCCCCCCCCCCCATTGCTAAAATAAAGGCTTTTACTTCTCTTGACTTTTTAAGACAGTGTTTCTTAAACCTATGCTGCGTTAAGTTTTATTATATAGTTACTGTTTTTAACAAATGTACTTAATTTTCAAAACATAAATGAGACTTTCAGGGAGGGTATGATAAACTTCTATTCACTGAGGGAAATTGCCTATCAATCATCGCAATTTATTATAGACCTTCAGAATGACAAGATTGCAAAGTGTTCATTGGATGAGTTTATTTTTCTGAACAAAAGAAAAAATAATTATAAGGTGTGCTGTTTAAATAAACAGCAAAAAGTGATATAAACTAGTTCTATGAGAAATATAAGTAGATTAGCTATTCTGGATATTGCAAATAAAAAGATAAGTAATGATTTTAGAAACTGGAACTAGAAGGGACTATACATTTTAAACAACAGAAAAAAATATAAGCCTGTACTTGATGTCAGTTAAGACTGGGACTTACAAGACAACAAGAAATTTTATAACATTGGAAGTATTATGGGAAGTCTTTGAAGAATTGACCCAGAAATTAGTAACCATGATGTCTAAAATATGTTAATGAGGAAATGACAGCTGTCAAATTTTATCTGACAAGACAGAGGAAGTATTGAAAATGGAACTACAAATGACAGCTCAAGAAAATAATGTGGAAAAGGACTGAAGAAAGAAAAAAGAAAATGGCTGAAGTTTTAAAAATAAAAAGGAAAATAGAAATGTTGAATCAAGAAAATGATCTAGAAAAATTTTTATAGCATCTACAAGAGACATTAAAGCCCTGAAGAAATCTATGCAATGAGATATAAAAGAATTGAAGAGAAATCAAATCCTATGACAATACTTAATTGAGTTACAAATTAAGATTGTTAAAATAAAAGGAAGGCATATCAAGTTGGTTTATCTGATCTAAGTTAAAATAAGGCATTTTTATTTGCCTGAACATTTTTTTTGGATGTCATCCAAATCATGGTTGTCACAAAGATGCTTTTCAAAAGGAAAATGGACTTTCTTGATTTTTTCCTTGAAAACATTTCAGTTCTCATCTAAGAAGCTAGATGATTAACTGTTTCTCAGTGTGGATGAAGATCTTACTTGATCAATAGTTTCTCTATATATTTATATATCTGCTCTCATTAGGTCTACTACAGTGTTTCTCAACCTTGACAATTTTAAGGCATGTGGACTTCAACTCCCAGAATTCCACAGCCAGCATTGTTGGCTGTGGAATTCTGGGAGTTGAAGTCCACATGCCTTAAAATTGTCAAGGTTGAGAAACACTGGTCTACTGTATTATGTCTAGTGTTACATCAATTATAGGTTCTCTTGTCTTGTTCATGTCTGATTTATTCCAGTAGCCCACGTATTGTCAGATTGCCCTGATTCCCCAACATCAACATGAATCTTGTTAATCCAGGCTGTCATGACTTCTAGTTCTTGTCATTCTCATATCCAAGACAGACGGATAAAACATTAGGTGGTTTTTGCTCAAGGACCCCTACTGGCAAGGTAAATACCAGCCAGTATTTGAACCCCAGTTCCCCACATCAAAGTGCAGAGCCAAAATTATTAGACAATCTAGCTGTCAAACTGTTTTGCGCTTTCACCTATATTACGCTTCGCTCACAACTTGATAAAGAAAAGGGAGAAGGTGGGATGGAATGCAAGGTTGAGGGGAATTGCCTCTGAGCATCATTAGTTCCTGTGAGACAGTGATCCAACTCAAGGACACATTGAGCAGGTGGACTAGCGTGGCTCTCTGGTTCCCATAACAAACTAAACAGAAGTGATTGGTGGATGTAATGGGCTGTGGGTGGCCCATAAGAAAAGGGGTGGATTAACTATGTTAGCTTTTGCATGGGAAACCCAGAGGTTGTTTCACTTCATCTGTGCCAATATGGTTTCATTCAGTAAAGTTTATACTCCTGGTAAAATAATGTCCCAGGAGTTTCTTTTTCTGGATCCACCAACTGGACCTTAGCCATTTTTATTCATATAAAAACCTCCCTTCATGGCATAAGTCTTGAAACAGAATCCTTTTTGAACTTTGAATTTGCAATGGAAAAGTGTTCCCCTGTCAAGGAGTATATTTGTGGGGGGGAGGCGGGAATAGCACTGCCAAGGTTGAGACAACAATGGGCAGGATGCCATCAATACACTAAATGCATGCTTGTACTCTCACACATCTCTCCCCCTCTCTCTCTCCTTCCATCCATCCAGCCATCCCTCCCTCCTACCTTCCTACCTCCTTTCTCTGTAGGAAAGATCAAGGAATGGGAAGAGATGATATAAACAGATACTCAGCAAGGGAGGGAAGAAAAGATGTGTGCGTATTTAGAGGACCTCAGAGATATACAGTCTCAAGTCTGTCCTCATTGACCCAGCCTTAAAGCTATCTTTCTTCCTCTTCCCTCATTGTTTTCTTCTTTTTCTTCATAATCCCCTTGTCATTAGATTATTATGTAATCTCCATTGCCGTCATTAAGTGAATTTTGCCAGTTGTTACCAAAGGATCCAAGACATTTCTCCCAACCCTGGCCCTCAGAAAGGAGAGGGACTGCCTCCAACTCTCCCATCTCCCCTCCATCTTTGTCCTTTTGGCTGTAATTGAACAATCACTGAACCAATGGTTGTAAGTCGAGGGCCACCTGTTGCAGCATCAAACATGACCCTCTCATTTGTAAAGTAGTGTTATAAATTATTATATCTCATTGACTTTCCAAAAACCAACATCAGAACTCACAGTTTGATGAGGATCCATCACTGCCTTCACAAAGTTGCAAGATTCAATGGTGCAGGAACGGACTGTTTCTGTTCGGCCTTCCCGGAAAAGACGAGTCATAGATGCTTCATAAGTGAGACAGAACTTGTTCATGTCCTAGAACAGCAAGAGGAGGACGTATAGACTAATAAGAAAGGGCTCTCTACTAGAGTATTGTTCTTGGAAATTAAGCATAGTGAAAAGTTGGTGCCATGGAGGTGGAAAAATTCAGCCTCTTGGATCAGAGAAGGCAAAATGTTCTGCTGGAAGCATGAATCCAAGGTATTCTGTTAACAAAATTCAGATTACAAGAATCCTGAGAAAACTTGAAACAGAATAAGTCCAATTCATTTCTTCTGTATAAATGCAATCAAAATTACTACTTATTCTGCTATAAGAAAAAAAGACTTTTTCTTCATTTATTTTCTCCAATAATGCCCTAATTAAAATGTTTTGAAATCAACAAGATAATATTTATGATCTTAACCCAGTTGCACTTAACCAAACTGTTAATCAACACAATTGATTAATCAAGCATCTTACCCGAAAATGTGCTAGTTGAAGGGCAAGCTGGATGAAGGCATCTGGGCTAGTGCGGCACTTCTTGATGTGGCCTTTGCCAAAGTCCTTAAAGGTAAAGACGTGAAAATCAACGTCACTGGCCAAAGCATGGGCCAAAATAAAGGACCGCAAGATCACCTCTTGGCACTGTCAGGAATAAGAAACAGAAATTATTAGCAAAGCATAGAGCAGATGTCATGGGAAACTCAGTTTTCCCTTATTTTTAATTCTTTTCCAATAGCTCATTTCTCTAAAGAGTCTACTATCTTTACTCTTCAGAAGAGTCTTCAGAAGTGGTAACTAATCAACCAGCAATGGGCAATGTGCTTATACTCTATACATTATATTTAATGTATTGTGTACTGCCTAGAGTGACTGTAGAGTAAAGCAGCTTCAAATCAAATTAACAACAACAACAACAATAATAATAATGGATGGGCAATCCATAGGCAACATGTATATCCCAGATTTCTTTTTCTCTTTTTTTGCAATCCTTACAGTCTCCAAACTTCACACCATTAAATCTAGCAGTAAACCATCAAATCGCAAAACCAGGTTTAACTCTAATTTTATTTTTTTAAAAATTAATACATTAAGATTTTAATAAATTACTTAACTTGGTTATTGAATTAACCCATGTTTTGTGTTAATTGAATCATACATTGATTCATGAGCTAGGTTTACCCACAATTAACCAAGCTTAGCATATTGTGCAAACTTAACTGAAAGGCTTTTAACTAATTTCATAAATTTTCAATTAGCATTGTTGGACAGCAAATAGATGTAACCAAAATAAAGGCCATTCCCAGATATTAAAAAGGCCCCTCAGCTGCAATTCCTCCTATAATACTCATATCTATGCCTATATATATTGACATTTCCTTATTTCATTGAGGCCACTTCCATGAATAAACAGTATCCTATTACAACCCAGTTGACATACCATTTTCTCTCTGGGTGAGTGTGCATGTGTACGCGTATATGTGGTGTGTGTGTGAGAGAGACAGAGAAGGAAAGAGAGAAGAGGGAAGAGAAAGAGAGAGAGGGCGGGAGGGAGGGAGAGCAGGGGGAGAGAGAGCTTTTTATCTTCACCAGAGCTTGAGCTTACCTCTGGCGATATTTCCCACTCCAGTTTTTGGGGTGGAGGGACATTGGGATCCATCTTGCCTTTGCAGTTTCCATCATCATCATATCCTAGCTGGAATGAATCTGTGGCAAGGGTGTACTGTGAAAAAAGGGCACCCAAGAGAAAGCTCAATTGCTTTGATTCCCTTGCTGTATCCTTTGCACTGAGCTAGCCCTCCATTCCCTACACCCAGAGAATCCAAGTGTTCTTCATTTCACCACTACTCCCTACCACCAATCCTATGCTGGAGAACTCAACTGGAACTTTACCTCCCAAAGATGTCCAACAATAGGTGCATCTGCCCATGAGTGTTCTGCATTGATTCCGGCTTTCCCGTTGCGGTAAACAATCAGGTTGAAAGATTTGTCAAACCACCTGTGAGAAAAGAGTGGCATCCTCTTTTTCCATAGGCTGCTCCCTATTCTTCTCTTAATCAAAGATACACACATGGACATGCACGCCTCTACAATTTATTTCAGGGGCCTGGCAATAGAACATATCATGACGATCTCTTGCACTTCAAAAAGTTCCTTTCTACCATTGATATTGGTGGAATGTTTACTGGCATACAAGGGAGCATAATAGGGCTCTGTGAAGGGCATCACAGCCAGCAGAAAATTATTTGGAAAACAAAACAAGGCCTCATGGGAAAAGTGATTACTTTTTTAGTATGAAGGAAGTGATATTTTGGCACAACTTCTCTGCTCAAGAAATGTGAGGAATGTGTGACCCATACGATTTCTGGTGTATAATCTTTGCAGGTTGGTTGCATAGAGGATATACCTACCTGTCACAGCAATGTCCGTGTAGCAAGGATTTTGCATAGATGTCCAACGCCTGACCTGGATTGGGCCCTAGCAGGCCCTGTTCACTTGTGTCAAGAGTGAGAAAGAAAGCAGCTTTCTCAATGATATTCAGGGACTGCTTGTTAATCCCAGACTGGAAGTAGGTGTGGCGGGCCCTGGCCCAGGAATCTCTACAAAGAACATTAAGCCATCAGAGTTAGGAGATGTGGCTATTATGGATACCCCAATCCAAAAAAGTAGCTTCTGACTTTGATGAGAACAGCGATCCTTTCCCTAATTCTAACACAGCCTGTTGCATATTAAAGAAGGACCCAATGGATACCCCTTCCTTCACCCCCTTTGAAGCCACTGCATGGACTTATATCTCCTTTTGCTTCATAAGCAGCAACAGTCAAAGGATGCAAAGAAAAGACTATCTGAACTCCTAAGACCAGAGTTCACTCGCTCTTTTGTACCATCTCTTTGCCATTCCTCTCTCTCGCTCTACCAAATTAACTATGGATGTCCATGAACCACCTTAGGTCTGTGGGTTGCATGACATCAGAATGAGGATCACAACAGACTAAAGGACTCCGAGTGACTGTTCTTTATTTTATTCAGAAGGAGGAAAGATGAAAAAGGATGAGCATTTCTTAAGCTAGGGTCTTCACTGTCTCTCAGTGAATGGAGGGTGCCAGAGGCTTCTGAGACGCATGGGAGTTGCCCTCCTGAAGTGGGCAGGGCTACCTAAGAGAGAGGACAGTGCAAACCAGATGAGCAAAGTACTCCTTAAATAAAAAAGTACACTCAAATATATGGATGTATCCACATAGCAGGGAGCAAAAGTAAAGGGCAGCATAAAGAAGTGGCAGAGCACAGCAGGGCATGAAGGGACAGGGAAGCAAGGCAGTGACAGGCAGCGTGGCATGGTGGTACAGCAGGATAGTTAACAGCAGAGTGGAGAAGCAGCATGACTAATGGGAGGCTACACCACACAACTCCCACTGCACATCAACATCAACCTCCTGGGACACACTTGAATTTCCGTCTGAACTTATTTTCTTCAAGCCCATTGAATGAAAAGGAGCACAGTGCAAATCAGCTGCAATAGGTTTAACTTACTGAAAGGCTGGATTAAGGACAGGTCAGCCTCTCACCTTTCACCTGCGGTCATTGAAGGCAATTTCTCCTCCCCAGGCAGAGGGGGTGTAGGGTCACAAAGGATAGCTTCAAACTGTGCCTGAAGTTCACAAGGCTCCAGCAGCCTCCCCTTGTAATACAACGATACTCGAAATAAGCGTCCTGCATGGTATACTGCAATGTGATCACTGTCTTGTAGATGTTGGATTTTATCTGAGTAGCAAGGACATAAACAAAATAAAAACTTTGCTGGATCTCAGTCAATGCATAGCCAGCCTAGTCTCTTGCCTCCTCCCACAGGAGCTCCCCAAGGAAAAGGGGTAATCATAACTCAGTGAAAGGTTGTGTCCTGTACCATAATTCAAATTTATCTCTTACCCCAGACCAATATTTCGGATTTTAATAAAGTAGTAACAGGTCAAGCACCTTATATTCAAGCAATTACTTGCACTTTCTCTGACGTCAAATTCTCACAAAGTGAAATATTGAGTTGGGATATCCAAAATTCCCAGCCAGCAAAATGTGAGTGGAAATTCTTTACATCTAAAGTGCATCAACTATGGAAAGCTGCAGTAGTCAAAGATTAATAAAAGAAGGCTGTGCACAATCCGCATGAGCTGAAATAATATGGCCATTTTTCTCTTTGCAGCCCTGTCTGCAAGACCTGTGTACATCCCCTCAATTTTTTAATATTGTTGGAGGTTTGGGGTTTTTTTGCAATACTTGGAGCCTCTTTACAACCATAGTTGCTGGAAATTGGTGGCAATTTTTTTTTTCTATATTGGACATTGCCATACATTGCCACACATGCAAATGAATTTTCTCAGGCATCTTCACTACCCTAGTCAAAAGATTCTGAGCAGTTTATTATTGATGCAACAGATTACAACAATACACAAATCTAACACAGTTGGATCTAAGTACTTAAACTAAGTAACCTTAATTTAAAAACCTTAAAAGCTCACAAATAATCAAAATACAAAAGGAAAAACAGGAAAATACTAGACCTACTGACTTTGCTTCATAAAGTTCTTTTACTTTGCATCATTGTGTTCTGCCTACTTCAACTTTTCTCTTATCAATTAAGGGGGGGGGCTACCAAGCACTAACAGGTTGCCCACTCCTAATTAAGGAGACAGTAAAACCTGGTTGAGGGTCCAGGTTTTGAACACCAAAAAAAAAGAATTTTATTAAGAATCTTCCCCTAGTATGCTAACCAGGATTGGTTCTCCACAAGTTTTATCAAAAAGCCCTTTGAGAGGTTTGGACCCATCCTTCACCTTATACAAGATGTATACACCTTATACATCTAGACAAGCATAGGTTCCTCACCCTATTTTAAAATAAAACATGGCTGCAGGACAAAGCATGTAGAAAAAAAGTCCATTCATCCCTGCAATTCACATGACAGTGTGCAGATATTTGTTGGGAAAGGAGGGCAAGGTGTGCAGAAGCATCCTACCTCCCTCCAGGCCGGGCACACGGTCTGTATTAAACATGCGTTCATACTGAGCTGAGCACGTTGGCAGGCAACCTTGGATCAGCATCTGAGAAGCAAAGGGAAGCAAGAAAAGAAAGAAAGAAAGAAACAGAGAGACCGAAGGAATAATCAAGAAGATTTGCCTGCCATGAAGCTTTGAAAGAAGTAAAAAAGAACCCAAGGAGATTTTTTTTTCTCCTAGCAACTTGAATAGTCCTGCCAAGAAAAGAACCCAATGCGTAGGCCAAGCTCCAAAGGTGGCTCCAGTTCTGATTTCATGAATATGTGGGAATTATCCATGTTGACAAGAGCAAGAAGGGATACCAGCTTTTTTTTTAAGACAGCGACTGATTGCCAACTTGGTACCTTAGAATGACTTCTACCATCCAATATGAGGTAGACTGCAGTAGCTACCATCATTCCTGGCCAAATAAGACTGTGCTACTGGAGATGATGAAAGTTGTTGACACAACACTCACAGAAGGCACCAAGTTGTCAAAGGATGGTTAAGACGGAGGGATTTAGAGGATTATGGGTAAGTTCTGGAATCATAGACTGCAACACTGAAGATATGGACCAGAAAACCCAGCAGCAAAAGACCTCCATAGAGGAGATTCATCTTGCAAAAGTCTCCCATAGCCAGTTGTGAGAAGGAGATTGTTTCTCAGGGTCTTCTAGTTCACTTACCCTGCCCCATTCCGGGCAACCGGGTGCTGTTGAAGAGGCGCTGCCACTGGGCCGAACAGAGGGGGATGAAGGAATTAGGGAGCATGCTCTGATATCAGGTGACAAGGAACCCCAAGATTAGACGGGGAAAAGAAAATCAAACAGGGAAGAGATTTATTGTTGTTATCTTTAATATACTTTGTGAGCCTAGAACATTTAAAGAATTTTTAAAATCAAGGCATAATTAAATGTAATAAGCAAAAAGCCCAATGATCAAACTTGTAGAAAGATCACTGAGAAAGCATGACATCACCTGGACTTTACAATGTAGCTGGCAATGCTATCTTGCATTTAATAAACGGCAAAGCTACCTGTACACTTAAGCTGGTGTAATACTCGGCCGACAGATATTAGGATAGGCCCATTTTCATTCCCTTTTAGCTTTGCTTTAAGCCTCTTTTCTGCTCTTTTCTTTGCTGCAGACTTTCAAAGAACCAATTAGATATTTAAACCCTGAGTTGTGCTTAAGACAAACTCAAATCAGTTGTGATGCGGTGAATACAGGATCTGATCTCCCAGTTTGGTTTCCCATGTTTTGTTTTGTTTATACTTCAAATGAACTGCAGAAATATCAGTCCAGAGTAGTTCCTGCCCCCACAGAAGGAGAAAATACTAATTCATATAGAATATTCTGCATGTGTTGCTTGCCCCGGAGCAATAACAAAGCAGTTTAGATCTAGAAAAAGAACCACTGTCCTCATCAGAACTGGAATATCATACAATTGTCTTGACATACAAAACATTAAAAATAAGTAGCATAAACACGCATTATCATTTTACCTCTTGGATCAGCAAGGCTAAGAGTCAAATTGATGTTCATCCATGAATTTCACTGAGATCCTTTGCAAATAATTGGCCTGATTAGCATGTGAAATTAAACCATAGTCTATCTTTAGTTTTAACTTAGTCTCATAGGCAAATCAGGTGATTATAATATGCAAATATGGCTATTCTTTTTCCAGGGCACCAACATACCCCAGAAGTTCCTTAACATGAGTTCTAGAAGAAAATGTGGGATTCATTGTGATTTTGCAGACTATTGCTTGCACCACAGTGCTGGTTCTTTCTCTACCTCCACTTCCCCTTTGTTTAGTCTAAGCCAATGAAAAATTTTCAGTGATGTACTACATAAATGATATGGTTAGTATATCATTACCATTAGTTTATAAGTTCTTCCATTTTGAAAGCATAGCAGCAAACCAGACTGATCATAAAGACAAAACTATCAAACGGTATGAGAAACATGCCCATATTTTTAAAAGATAAAACTGAAATATCTTTCAGAAAAAGCAGCTTTTTCTAGCCTGGCACGTATTTGAGACTATAATTTCCAAAACTTAATAAGTATTGATTATGGGGGCTGTTGTTCAATTCATCTGGAGATTCCCAGTTTGGGAAAGGCTGCTTTTCGAAGTGAAATGGGCAAGCTTGGAATACATTAAGAAATTGCCATGCTTTTACTCCTTTTTCCTTTCTGCAAGTGGAAAGCAAACACATATAAATCCTTGACTTATGACCATTCATTTAGCAACCATTCAAAGATATGACCATGCTAAAAATAGTTTGGTTCTCATGATTATGACTGGTCCTCACAAACTTATGACCATTGCAGTGTCCCCATGGTGACGTGATCAAAATTCAGATGCTTGGTAACAGGCATGTATTTATTTATGAGAGTTGTGGCACTCTGGGTTCATGTGATCGCCATTTGTGTCCTTCTCAGCTGGCTTCCAACTAGCACAGGCAGTGGGGAAAACTGAAACTGCTTAACAATTGCATGATAACAACCATTTAATAAGCACAGCAAGAAAGGTTGTAAAATTGGGTGTGACTCATTTAACAGCCGTCTTGTCTTACTTAGTAATAGAAGTTTTAGTGATTGTAAGCTCAAGGTTACCTGTATAAATCTTCTTATTCTCAATCTGACTCACACTAACTAGTTCAGGCAGAGGGAGCTTTCTTTCTCTAACAGGCATATTTCCTATCCTCCCTATATTTTGGTCTCACTCACAGGTTTGATTTCCTCTCGTATGAGTTTGCGTCGGTACTGCAGCATGGCATAAACAAGATTCCCAGCACGAGCAGCTTGGATTGGAGTAGGTGTAACATAAAGGAAATCCTGGAAAAATGAGTGCAGAAGAAATGAAAACATGGAGAGGTCAGAAGAGCTAGAAGAAAAACATCCTGTTCAAGATATTCTTCTCTAGTTTTGATAACTCACCATGCCATAATAGTTGCTATTTACCATCAGGGGGCTCCTCCCACGGAGATACACATATTCTTCCCACCAATCACTTACCTGGCAAGAGATAGAAGGAGGGTGGAAAAGGAGAAATTAAAAAGACAGCACCGCGTACGTATTCTCAGTGTACTACACTGTTCTTCCCAAAGAGCCCCTCCCCTTTAAAAGGCCCACTCACAGAGTTGGGTGCCCACCAAGATTTCAGTGTGAGATACCATTGCAGATGTGGTCCAAGAGTCCGTTCAAAGTCACGGACAAGACCTGTCATTCGATGGAATTCTGCATCAGTTGTCAGAGGTCGTATGGATTCCAAATACTAAGGGAGAAAGAAAAATGTGGAATTAGGTCTTGGCAAGTGCAGAGTTCATTCTTTTACCCAAAAGCCTTCCTCATCCCAAACTCAAGAGATGAAGTTGTCCCCATTCATTCTCCTACAAGAGCACTTGAAACCAGAGGCCCTATAGACATGGAAGTATGCATCTTTGTAGATGCATGAAAAAGAAGTGCAAAAGCCTCAGAAAGTTGTAAATAGATTATCAGTTCAAACTTCACTAGTTTTCTTCATCTTTCTGCTATTATCTAGTGATTGTCTCGATTTCAGACAATTTCAGCCATGGAGATGCAAATCGAACAGTTTCTAAGATAATAAAAAAAGAAAAAAAAATCAAATTTCCTAATGTGAAAGAATGAATCATAAATGAATATTTTCACATCTATAAAGATTTTTTTGCATTGGAGAAAAATAGCATGGAGGAGTGCGGGAATTAAAAGCAGCAACAGAAAACAGCTGTGATACTTGGCCATCACATCTTGGAGATGCTATGATTTTGTATTCCCCAAAATTTGGAGAGGCTCAGCTAGAAAAAGCTATCAATGAATAGCCTGTCAGAACATGAAACATTCAAGACATTTTTCCCAACTCATCAGCAGCTGAGGTCACCTGGTAGTATATGTTTTTGATGAAATAACATGGTAAACGTACAATGCCCTGCATGTAAAACTCTCATTTAATTACCATAGGTAGAATATGCAACAAAAGATCCAAAATACATTTTTTATGATTCCAACTTTGCCTTTCCCAAGGAAATTCTATTCCTTGTGTTTTCCTTATTTTTTTCTTCCCTTATTTATTTAGAGTATGGCATTCTTTCTTCCCTCTGCCCATTTCTACCCTACAAACAATTTTCTGTCACTCCTTGAGCTGTTTTTGGAGTTACTGACAGTAAAGTTTTTTTTAAAAAAAGATTTATCATTTTATCTTCATGCAAATGTTAGGGCTTCAGGTACTAATTTCTATCTCTCGTGATTATGACATGGCTAACTCTTCCATGTCAAAAAATAATGGAAAACGTTTTCTCTTCCTAAAACAGTGAAAGACCACTGTTAGATGCATTTGACAATGTTAAATTATAAATTATCTCATCCCATAGAAAGAAGAATTCTGTGTTAAAGCTTTTGCTACAGTAATTCATGAAATCTATCTACAGAAGTTTACTGCAACTTTATGCATAAATGCTATCCAATTAATTAAATGAATGAGTAACTCAAATGTGTTATCTTAGTGAATGTAACTGAATCATTCCCTCTGCAAATGGCAATAACCTGATTCTCAAACTAAGCCTCTTTTTATACCATTTTGATTGTCACTAGTCAGAACTTGTTTCTTTTCAATAATCAGGAAAGAGCCCACATTAGGAGCTTATAATCAGAGCTAAGCAATGAACCCCATCTGAAATGGTTACAGAAAAAGAGCTAAGAGAGTATGCCAAATGTCAGGACCAAAAATCAGTATCAGAAATGTCAGGCATGCTAAAGTAATGAGATCTCTACTGTGATGCAAAGCTTTTGATTTTCCCCCCTTTTCATAAAGATCCATTGACCAGCATGGGAGGTGGAATCAGTCAGCATGGAAGATTCTTTGCTTGGGTCCTGCTGCATAGACAATTGTTTCCAACCCAAAGGTGCTTTTTTTCACAAGGCAACTGAACTTTCTTGTTTTTCTTTGAAGACATTTCACTTCTAATCCAAAAAGCTTCTTCAGCTCTGATTGAATGGTGGGGAATGGCAGGATTTATATTCCTTGCAGACAGCTGGTCCTTTGCATTCTTTTACTACTTGGAGGCTTATCTGTGTCTTCAGGGTCACCTGAGTAGTACAAATGGGTGTGGAGCCTTCTTGGAACTGTTGAAAGGACTGTGTTGCAGACTGGAGATAGATGATGTTGGATCCCTCCCCTTCTGTTGAGAGAGGGCTGTTCAGTTTTGACATAGATGGCCTCTTTGACCCCTCTTTCAAACCAATGGTTCTCTCTGTCCAGAACGTGGACTTTGTTGTCTTCAAAAGAGGGTCTATGTCCTTTCAACTACTTACATAGTTGTACTACTCAGGTGATCCTGATGATACAAATAAGCCTCCAGGGGTTTCAATGACTTGCTAAAAGGATGCAAATGACCAGCTGTCTGCAAGGAACATAAATCCTTCCATTCCCCACCACCCAACTAGTTAGTCACATGACTTAACTGATGTTATGATTTTTTTGCAGTCATCATTAAAATCGCTGCAATCATTAAGTAAACCAATGATTGCTATGGATGCAGTTTTGCAGAAAACTGGAAGTCAAGGACTATCTGTATTAGTGATCATTAGGATCAGCAGCTAGGGATGGAGAGAAAGTATTATCTTTTTCCTTCCCTGCTTTAATTCAAAGGAAAATCTGTCTACTGAAGCTAGAATTTGCTTTGGAGACAACTCCATTTATGCACTAGAACCTTGCACATGAAAAACTAGCATCTAGTATCACAGGGACAAAATTTTAACGCAGCCTTCATTATGGCTTATTTGCACTAATAGTTATTTCTATCAAATAGCAGACTTTCAAAGCAGCAGCCAACGAAGGATGGTGTTAAAATCAACCTAACTATAACATCACAATATATGGTTGGAATACAAGGGAATGGAGATTGCAAATGTAGGCCTCTATCTTTCCTGTTTTGACTCCTCCTGTGAACACTACTTCAAAGATGTATCCCAAATAAATATAAGAATCTTTGAACGCCCACTTGTAAATAAGAAGAATATGGATAAAAGCTGCAGACTCACCCTCCGCATTGTATCCTTAATAGCTGGAACAGGCAACCGAGGCAGTGAGGCCTGATAGCTATACAACATGGGTTTACGACCAGAGAAGATTTTCACCAAAGCCTATGAGGGTGAGGGGATAAAGGGGGAAGTGAGCTAGACCCCACATTTCAACATGTTCACTTTTCCCTCCAGCATTTTTCTTTGGCCTAATTCACAGTAAAGTGGCCTGTTTTATAATAGAATAGGACATGATGAATCCTGCTACTGTATAAGACAGAGTTATATATTTTCTTCAGGTAGCAGATACTAGTAAAACTATTGCAGGACAGAGATATCTATACTTAATAGCCTGTCCTACATCTTCCTAAACCAGGGGTAGGCAACCTTGGCTCTTTTATGACTCGTGGACGTCAACTCTCAGAATTCTTGAGCCAGCATGGCTGGCTCAGGAATTCTGGGAGTTGAAGTCCACGAGTCATAAAAGAGCCAAGGTTGCCTACCCCTGTCCTAAACCCTTCAATAAATTATCAACTGCCAGTCCAATCATTTTTAATAGGGAAAAAATGGAAACCAGAAAGTCATCTTGTCTTTTGCATTAGAATACAAATGACTAAGTTTGCCCTGAGACTGGATTACTGCAAACTGCAGCCACTGGGGTTCACTACTGACAGACATAAGTTTAGTCTAAAGCAGGGGTCCCCAACCCCCAGTCCGTGGACTGGCACCAGGCCATGGCATGCCAGAAACCGGGTTGCGCAAACAAGCAAAGCCCCATCTGCGGGATGCAGGCAGTACATGAAACCACACCCCTTCCAGTCTGTGAAAAAAACCTATCTCCATGGAACCGGTTCCTGGTGCCCAAAAGGTTGGAGGCCTCTGGTCTAAAGGTTATAACAAGAGTTGTGCAGCTTTTTGGATCCAAAGTGGAAAATATTCCTCAGTGGGAATATGACTATATCTGCCACATTTCACCTCCTTAAAGAAACTGCACTTTTTTCTCGACTTGTGTGGTAGGTCTGTGACCCCAGGAAACACGAGTTAGCAAGATGCCAACTGAGCGTAGTGAGACCATTGTACCCTGGATAGAACTTCTTTCTTTTCTGACATAGTTTACCAAATATCCGGAAGGGGAGTTTATGTTTGTTTGCAGAAGCACTCAGTCATATGAGAACTATGCCCCAAGAGTATTTTTGTTTTCACATCTTCTCCAAATTTTAATTTGATCTGCTTATCACTCCTTCTTCTACATGCCTCTATGGGAATTACAGACACACCTGCTGCTCTTTCTTAATATGTATCTGTGCCCCTCAGCTTGGCTCCTTCCCAACTGATATGTCCCCAATATTTCATCTCATTTTTTCTCCAGCAGCCTTTCCAAGTGTGTATTTCTTAGATGTGCTGAATAGAAATCTCATCGTCTCATACAGCCAGACCATGAGAATTATGATACTACAACATATATAGAAGACACTGGATTGGGAAAAGCTGCTCCACGGTGTTTTTCATCATAAACCATCATTAACTTTTTAACTAAACCTATTCGTCTGATCCTGAACATAGCTATTGTACGTAGCTCAAATACTTACCTCTCTGTAGGTGCATTGTATACTGTTTAGATGGTATAATACTGAGAAAGTTAGGGAGAACCTACTCATTAGAGATGACCTTGAGCCCCTCTTCTTTCTCTCTTATCCTATTTATAAAATAACATTGGAGAGGTATTCCCCTAACATTCTGGAGGAGTATTCTAGAACAGTGTTTTTTAGTTTTGTTGATTGCAATGTTTCTTTTCTTCAGGCAAGTGGTAGCAACATCTGATTAAATGTGTCTGAGCTCAAAACCTAAGGTTAGTATTTGGATGAGAAACTTCCAGGGAATAGCAAGTTTGCAAGTTAGACTGGGAAGGTAAAAAGCATCCCAGAAGAAATTAGTGGCATTGGGTAAGTTTGCCAATAACACTGCATGAATAAACAAAGTTACCTAGAATTAAGCTTGACTTGAAAAAGGGTTTGCCTTTTATAATACGGTATGTGTCTAACTTTTAAAGCCAGTCTGAAATCTTTGCCTTCATAACTGTTTAATTAAATGGATAAATATGGTAACCTGTGCTATAGAGAAAAGGGAAAATATAATTGCAATAATTGCACTCAACGTTTATAGTCTTCTCTGTTAGCCTTGTTTCATATGGTGCTCAGCAGATATGTTGAAAACTCCCAGATTTTTATTGCTCTGTGCTATAAGCCTGCTTCAGCTCCATCCAGGGTTATAGTAGCCAAACTCAGAGCAATTGTGTATGCCACTCTCTGATTCCAGCAACAGTTGTCCCTGTGTCCAATTTGCATTCTAAGAGTACACTTGTCTTGTAAATACATACCAACCAGATCTTTGTGGTGATGGATATCCGACCATGCTCCTCATACATCCATCCATGATAGCATAGCAACATCTTAAGAATGCTACGCATGGTCATAATGAGAGCCAGCCATAGTCCTGTGGAAAAGGCCAGGACACTGAGGACATTCAGGCCCTGATCTGACAGATAATTGCTGGAGAAAAACAGGATGATGGCAAATAGACAAAGTCAATCTTTCAAGAAAACTAACCTGTATTTGTAGATTACAAGTAAACTTAAGGACTGTTAAGGATTGGTGGGAGGGGAGGGAAATGAATGATCTGATGCTTAGCTCACATTTGTTACATCCAAAATATCCCAGAGTTAGTCATTTCCCTTCAGTTTTCTGAAATACCTCTGCCCAAACTATGGAGAAATGCCAATGGTCAGTGGTTGTGTTCACACAATACATTTAACCAAGGTAGTTAAAAATCAAATGGCTGCCTTTGTATAATTATTAATTTTAACTTCTTTTTTGTAACTTTAGTATGTTGTAATCCATCTGTGGATTATGTAAAATGGTTTACATTTAAATTAAATGTACAATATCAGAAAAGTTTTAATTTAATAAGCATGGCACTGTACAGAAAATACTAGGCTATTTTGGTCTCATTCAATATAAGAGCTTTCTATGTCAGGATGGACATTTTGGTAGGCTGAGAGTGACTTTTTTTTCTTTTGCTTACCTAACAGACAATATTGTCTTGGCAACAGGGAAAAGATCCCTGGGGTAATGAAACACAATATTATCCTAATAATGGAGGATAATAAAGGATTAATGCAGACAGGAATCAGGAAATGTTGGATTTCTGTATTCCTCACAATGCTAATTCTTTACCCAGTTATAGAAACTGTGTGCTATTAGAATCAAAATTAAGACACTATGACAGTTAGTACCTGGCTGGGTTAAGGGTGCTATCTGAACTCAACCATTAGGTCTGACCGAGTCTTAGCTTCTTCCATTCTGATAAAATTAAAAGCTACTAGCTCATCATGAAGACTTGTCTCCTTTTTTCCCCTAATTACCTGACCGGCAGATGTTCCTTTATTTTGTCAATCATGCCCATGGAAGGGTCAAGACGAGAGAACTGGGTTACTAGGATGGCTGTAACCATAAATAACCAACTGGAGGGGCTGGCGGGATACACACCTGTCACAAAACCATTCTGTTTGGAGACAATACAAGGAAATGGAGGTGAGAGGTAGAAAAACAAAGAACTTGAGAGTTTTAATTTTCTGCTACATTGGCACTCTAACCTGTTTCTGAAGGAATAAAATCCTTTTCTTGGAACTATGACTCACAGGTTGAACTTTTGCCTACATTAGTAAATTATTCTCTGACTTCCTTCCCTCTAGGTGAAACTGTCTTTATTTTCTTGCAGAAGCAGCAAGAACTTCTATAAATTAACTGTGATACATTATTTCATTATATTTCAACAAATTTAAATAATCCCAGCATTAAAAACCAATCAACTGGCACTTACATTTTTTTTCTTCAAGTAAAAATTCTTTACTTAAATATTAATGATCTTTGTTGAGAGCCAGTCTGTGTAGTAGTTGTGGTGGTAAGAAACCCAGGTTCTAGTTTTACCTTAGCCAAGAAAGCCAACTGCTTTCTTTCAGTGAGGCCCATCACTTCCTCTCAGCCCTAATCAGCAATCAGGCTCTGAACAAGCCAATTGAAAAATGAAGCTCCTTGTCACATCATGCATTGATAGCTTTGCTATGTCAACTGAAGCAAATGGAATACAAGTAGTCCTCAACTTACAATTATTCGTAATCACTGGAAGTTACAACCTTTCCAAAATTCATGTGATCAAAATTTGGGCCCTGGACAACTGGCATGTATTTACAATGGTTACAGTCAGGGCTTTTTTTGTCATAGAACGCCCAGAACGGAGTTCTGGCACCTTTTTTGGATGGAACTTTGTAGGGTAGGCAAGGCGGGTTGTATGACATGTGTGAGTTCCGGCACTTTTTTTTTTTTTTTTAGAAAAAAAGCACTGGTTGCAGTATCCTGGGATTACATGATCAGAATTTGTGACCTTCCTGTCTGGCTTCCAACAAGAAAAGTCAATGGGGAATGTTGGATTCCTTAATGACTGCTTGATTCACTTAACAACCACAGCAAAAAAGATCATAAAATTTAACGCAACTCACTTAATGACTGCCTTGCTTAGTGGCAGATGTTGTATTTTTAATAGATTACGACTGCCCCTGCATTACCCGTATTTGGTTGAATTTCTTCTTCCAGGAACGCAGGCCTGAAAGGTAAATCTCCTTGATAGCTGCATGGCTCAGCTGAAGGTCTATACCCTCTGGAGAGACAGTAAATTGAAATGCCACAGCCTGGTGAGCTTCTGCCATTGTGGGAGGATACTAATTTGTTGGCTAAGCAGATAAAAGAAAAAGAGAGAAAACAGATGACATAATTAGCCCTCACTATCTGATACCTTCCAAGTGTGATTAAAATGCAACATCAGCCATTGCTCAGTCACTGATAAGTTATCAGATCTACAAAAATTTTAGGGAACCACTAGATGGTGGCAAAGATTATTTTCTGTATCTCTTCATTGACATCTAGTGGTCAACAAGATTTTTTTCAGATCAAATCAAGCAATTCTGAACAAGGCTGATATAAACCCACACCTAACATTCCCCCAAATTTGTTTCCAAAGGTATATTAATTTGCACAATTTATAACTCAGCTTTCACCATTAGCCTATACAGGGGTGTATAGGCGGATGCATCATGTGGAAGCCGCACCCACCCCATTGCCAGCAATGGCAAAACCGTCGTCGCGAGTTTGACATGCCTGGCCTATAACAATAAGAATAATGCAATACAAGGAAGGCATGCAGTACCTTCCAACAAAAATGAAACTAGCAGTTAAAACTGATTTTCAACAGATTATAAATTACAATGGATGAATGAGAAGAAAAGAAAAATCACTGAAAAAGAACATTTAAAAGCTGGGAAAGAAAGGAGATAAATAAAAACAGAGGGTTGTTTCCATTTTATCTAATAAAACAGCCGCTAGACCTTCAGTTAAACAATATGCAAGGAAAAAGCTCATGCACACACAAAGACCCTCTTTCTACCAAAATGAATTCACTAATAAACAAGAACAATAGTTCTGCTTACTTGGTTCCCAAAATGTTTGTCTCCTAATCTCCTTCCTACTTTTTCCCCAGGCATCAACTAATCAAACTCTATGGTTATCTTATATGTTTATTCATAGCAGTGTAAGGACTGGACACCCCTCTCCCCATGGGTAATCAGTAGAAAATAGATAGTGTCCAGACAAGATGCCCTGAGTTTGCAAGCAATGACATAATAAGACACCTCAGCCATTATAGTAGGTGCATAATTCAGAGGTCCTTTGGAGCGGGCCTATACCCATGATACTCTCAGCACCTCCTTAAATAAACTGTTTATGGAAGTATTTAAATATGAAAAATAAAATAATATTAATCTTCGCTATCTCAAAAACTTTCAGGAAAAAAATCCATACCTACAAAATGGATCTACTATGTATAGCATAAGAAGTAATCCCTAAATATCTGGATTTTTCCAACAGATGCTAGTTTTCATTGAAAGAGTAAAAATTCCAAAGAGAACCTCGCGTCTTCTGCACAGTATTTCTCACTTACATCCTGCCAGATGCAAGTTTGGCTGCTATGGCAACATTTTTCTGTGCCAACCAATTAAAAAGGGAACAGCAAGAAAAAAGAGGGGTAAAAACACTTGGTATAATAATTCAAAGATACAATTAGTTTGAATAATTTTAACTTGCTCCTTGCCTGCAGCTTCAGTAATTCTGTTAATGAAAAGATACCATTCAGTTCAAACTAAGCCCAGTTCTACAACTAGACAGTACAGAAACGGAGTCAATAAATAAAATATAAAATCTTGGTGACCACCTGCCATTCAACCTCATTAACTTCTACAAAGTAAATCTAGGAACGTCAGTTCTCAAAGCTACTATTGGTACTATTGTCAGAAATTCTCTGGAGATAAATTGAAGTTATAAGATAGGTGCCACCCAGCTTACTTCACCAGCTGTATGTAATCTGTTTCCCTACCCCCTGAAAGGAGTGTCATTTTGTTTACCTAATACAGCTGAGAGTGCCCATGATGTCAGCACTATGCCAATATGAGGTCACAATATAATGCCTGGAAAGTTTGAATGAAGGGATGGAAAGGATCAAATAGGTTACTTATTTGACACAATTCATGACAAGTGAAAATTTAGGAGAAACTCCCAACCAATATCAATCTCATGTCCATAATATAACTTGGACTACAACGGCCATCCTCCCTAGCCAGCCCACTCTTTCAATAAGCTGCAGATTAAAAATGACAGGAGATTTCATTCAGTGTATCAAGCAAATACTGTGGAATGCTGTCAGCATCTTGGAGCCCCATTCAGCCATCATTCAATCACACAGTTGCCACATACTGTAGCTCTGGATATAGACTAGAATGAGAACTGATTATAGCGTTGTTAACTGAACAGTATTGTTAAGGGACAGTAGTTCAAGGGAAAGGTTATGACACCCATCACAGAAGCTTAATGCTCTGCTGTTTATTAGATGTTTTTTTCTATTATAATAGGCAAAATATTAATTTAGATTTAATTTTTGCTTTCAGTTTAAAGTTAAGTGAAATGGACAAAACATTTCCCAATTTTCCATCCCCTTTCTCCATTGTTTTCCACCATTTTGCTTGGTGACATTCCTGAGATGGCATAAAAAGAAACCTTAAACATCCTTGGATTCTGAGTAAAAGCTACTGGGATGTGCTGGAGGGATTTCATCTGCAAAGGTGCCTTGCCTCAGATAAAGAATTATGAGGCAAATCCTGAAGAATTTTCCCATTTAATTAAAGATATTCACACCCCAACTACTCCTGGTGATTCAGAGAATTGCACCATTTTTGCTGCTAGTTTTTGTGGCTGCTTTCAGATTCCCTAGATAATGAATGTCATTTTGTATGATAGGCAAGAATTGTTATTCCCATACTGCAGACAAGATAAGTAAAGGATAACTGAGAAATAGTGGGTTGCCTAAAACCACTAACATGTTTATCAAAAACTGAGATGAGAAACTGTACAACAAGAAACAAACTCCATGGGAAAAAATGACTCAATATATGGGGGAAAAAATTTACCAAAAATTCCAGAAAACCTTAGGACTATGCTAAATGAAAAAATAACAATGATGGAATTGTCAGAGGCAATAAAAAGATAAAACAATGAAAAAACACCAGAACCAGATGGACTCCCAGCAGAGTTTTATAAATGTTTACAAGATATATTAAGTTCACCATTGAAAAATGTATGTAACAAACTTTTATTGGAGGAAAAACTCCCAAATACATGGACAGAAGCAAATGTTACTTTGATACCAAAAGAGGACTCAGTTCTGACCCAGATCAAAAACTATAGACCGATATCACTACTGAATGTGGACTATAAAATCTTCACTTCAATAAAAGCTGAGAGGTTGAAAAGATTTTTGAATGAATTTATACACCCAGATCAAAATGGATTTTTGCCAAAGAGACAAATAAAAAATAATTTGAGGGTAATACTAGGTATATTGGAATATTATGAACTTCATCCAAGGAAACAACTGGCACTAGTATTTTTAGATGCCCAAAAGGCATTCGATAATGTTTCTTGGCAATTTATGATTCAATAATTAAAAATAATGGTCAAAACTTTATAATACAATTCAGACAATATATCAGAAACAAACAGCAAAAGTAATTGTAAATGGGGATTATACAGAGAATTTTAATATATGAAAAGGCACAGGACAAGGATGTCCAATAGAACAATTTGGAGAGATAGCAGGATTAAAGACAAATAGAGAAAAAACTAAAGTGATAGTTAAAAATTTTACAGAAAAAACAAAAAAGCAACTATCAGAAAAAATAGAATTGCAAATAGTGAAAAAAGTCAAATATTTGGGAATATATTTGACAGCAAGATGTTAAACAATAAAAGAAGATAATTATATTAAATTGTTAAACCAAATAAAGCTTGATTTGGAAAAATTGAAGAATCCTCAACTGTTGACATTATAAAGAATTGCTAAAGTAAAAACGATACCTATAAAACTATAGGAAAAAATTATTTGAAAATTTAAACTCTCTAATTCAAAAATGTATCTGACAAGGAACGAAAGCTAGAATTAAATGAAAAATGTTACAAGAAATGGAGGGTTTGGCTTGCCAGATTGGGTTTTATATTATCAAGCATCAGTGTTAACATGGATAAAAGAATGGATTATTCTTAGAAATAAAAAATTGTTATATCTGGAGGAACATGACCTGCAAATTGGTTGGCATGCTTTTCTATGGTATGGAAAAAATAAAATACATAAATATTACCAAAACCACTACATTAGAAACGCATTATTATTAACTTGGGAAAAAAATAAAATGTAAAATTTATTTGAAAATTCCAGGATGGCTTTCAACAATGAAAGCATTTGTACATCCAAATCTAGTCAATCCCAATAAATTTTGGACATACAAAGATATTCTAAATTCTGAAGGGAACTTAAAATCCAGGCAAGAGATGGAAAATCAGGGCATTGATTTAACATGGTGCAAGTCAGATGTGATAAAGATATTAAACAGTATGGATTTTACAATGAACAGACTATGTTTGATCAGACATTATTAACTTCTGATGAAAAGTTAATTTAAAAAAGTACAATTTCTTATAAATTTCAAAATGGAAGATGAACAAGTAAAAGAGACAATGATAGTATGGGCAAATAATTTTGGATATAATATAGACTTAGAAAAGTGGCAAAATTTGTGGGGAAAAAACTATAAATTGACAATGTCAGCTTCATACAAAGAAAACTTATATAAAATGTTTTATAGATGGCATTTGTCACCAACAAGATTAGCAAAAATGTTTAAAAACATGTCAGAGAAATGTTGGAAATGTAAACACAAACCAGGTATTATTATCATATGTGGTGGACATATGTTAAAGCAAGGAGATATTGGACAATAATATATGCTTGGTTAGAAAAAATGTTAGAGAAACACATAGATTATAAACCTGAATTTTTTTTTACTAGGTATAATGCTAGAAAAACTTGATAAGCAAAGTACATATTTGATTCTACATGTGATAACAGCGGCAAGAATTATATTTGCACAATACTGGAAGAACAAAGAAATAACATCAGAAGAAGAAATAATCAAACAAATATTAGACTGTGCGGAAATGGACAGATTTACTTTAAGGTTGAAAGAAAAAGAAGAAACAGAATATTTTCAAACTTGGGACCTATTTTATCAATGGTTAGAGAAAAGATTTAGGGATTAGGAATTTAATTTATATTAGTTAATAAGATACTCAG